GCTTTGAACTCTTTTGTCTTGAAGAAGGTTATCGTGTATCTTTGTGAGTTCGTTCATCAAAGAGGATTGTTTGTGATTCGCCTGCACAAGTATGTTCTGATATGGCAGGAACTTTTCCAATTCTGTCTTGAAGAATTCCTTTTCTCGGCCGACAAAAGACTTTTTGTTAAGAATCAAGCGCTCCGTGATGTCGTCTTTGTGAGTCTAAAGCACATATAGTTAGAAAGCTGTCGTAGAGAGATAGGCTAGGACACTCACCTCCACTTTGAGATCTGCGAGCAGTTGGGACTTCTCTCGCTCCACGAGGTTCAATTTCTTTAACAAACTCTCCACCTTGGCAATCTGCTCTGCAACAGAGGCGCCACCCTCGTCATACACATCGTCTAGCAGAGTACCTTCTGCCGGACTGGTGACACCGTCCTTGCTCTTGCTTTGCTTTGAACGGGCTTTGATTAAGGCTCGTTGGAAGAGAACATCGGCTTCATCTGTTTCACCAGCAGACCGCATCTCATCAAAATCGCTTTCATACTGCCGAAGTGTGGAAGACAACTGAGAATCACTCGCGCTGGCCTCGTTGATGGTATCTCGATACGATCGGACATCCCCTCGAAGCGTGGTATTGAGTCGAGAACTGGGCTGCTGGCTCCAGTCTGCTCCATACTTTGAGCGCATCTTCTCACACACGCTTTCTTCCAGGTCTAGCTGCTTTGAGCACTGGTCTAATTGGGATAATACTTCTGCCTTGCGATCCTGCAACTCGTCGAATGCCTTGCGGAAGGGATTGTGGCCAGCAAGTTCTGAACACCAGCGACGGAAGTCCTCGTCCACTGACATCTGGTTCATGCCTCCCTTCAAGACGTCGAGAGTGTCCGGCAGTTCGAGTGAGCCCAATTTAGCGGCTATATCACGATTGGCACTCTCGGCCTTTCCAGTCTCAACTCGACGCAACTCGGCCATTTCCTCCTCGTAACAACTGGCGGCCTCAGTGACCCACATGGGCCTCAGTTTTTTGAACAAGTCTGGCCCAATAATTTGACTAATATCTTGTCCTTGGTACAATTCGCTAACCGGAATTGCCTTGGCAGCAGTAACCCTGGCAACTGGTGAAAGACCAGCCTCATTAGGGACAGGTTGGTGGTAGATGAAATCATTGTCTTTGACCATAGTGGCGAGTAAAGCTTGCACATTTGTTTGATTATGCTTGACGAGGTCCAAGAGGTTGGAGCCTGACTCTGCCGTCAAGCCGGTGTCTGCTGGAGGCGATGAAGGGAACGTCTTTGCCCAGCTTAGAGCAGTGGCGGACTGCTTATCAGCCATCTGTAAACGAGCAATAGCAATTCCATGGGATCCGCTCTCACTATCCGCAACTGACTGATAATATGATGCTACTGATCCCATATGTGCTGCTTTGGCCTGCACAACAATCGTCCAGACCTTGTCAAACACATTCTTGTCGACAAAGTTTTGCATTGTCTCTACACCCTGTGAGTAGAGGTACGCTGCCTGTCCAGCCAGCTTGGCCAAGAGCCCAGGCTTCCTCTGATCTGCCACTTGTTTCTCAAAAAACACCTCTTGGGCTTGAGCTAGTGTGACATGTATCAGTGTCTTGATGGTGTCGTCTTTCAGATCGGTTGATGGCGGATATAAGAAGTTTTGATTAATATATGTAAACATCCCGGCAGATGCCTGGAAAGAGTGATAAGCGGTCTTGAGGCCGGTATCGTCAGCCCGGCTCTGGCTGGCAGCATGGCAGGATAGGATGGCGGAGATGTTAAAGATAACGGATGCCTTTTCGAAGGCTAGGGAGAATTGCGAGGTAGACGCATGAGTGAAAGCATCGTACCTAAAGGACAAATATATAAGCACAGGCAGAATGTTCACAAGAAAAATACCCCTACCATGTAAAAGGGATCTTGACGTGGTTGTCATCGATGGGAAACCTGAGGTCCAGCAGCTCCAGCTGACCGTAGTATCGATACAACAGATCACGACCGATAGCGCTGTCTTTCCCTACGCCCCTCATATCCTGACGAAGCCGGTTGAGAGTCGCGCACTCTTGGCTGTATTGTTCGGGGTCTTCGCCATGGCCCTGTCGAATGTAATCCTTGAGAGGCTGGATCCAATCAATCTCGTTGGTCTGCTTCAACGGACACGAGAGCATCGGCGACTGAGCCATTGTCGGGTATTTGCCAGGAGCGATATGCTCCCATCCAACAATACAAAAACTGTGTGTGAGAAAAAAAAAAGCGCGGGGCAGGGATGGTCAGAAGCTCCGTGTCTGAGGGGATCGGAGTCGAGGCTGTGGGGTAAGGGAGGCGGAACGTCAGCGCCTGATGGCCCCTAGTGTGTCAATGACGTCGGCCGATCAGGTATTCTTCGACGCAAGAAGTTTAGAAGATGACGAGATAATGCGAGAATTTTTGAGAAAGGAATAGAGTTGCCTAGAGTGTTGAAGTGTTGAAGTGTTGGAGGAGGGAGATGTGGGATGTGATTGTCCGTGGCCGTGCCTCTAGGCGCCAAACCACGAGACAACCAAATAACTAGAAACACATACAGAACACAGACATTCAACAAAACATTTGAATTTTGAATAATATAAGGTAATTAATAAATGAGAATGATCATAGTACAGTCAGAAGTAGAGAGCTTCTTAAGACATCTATCACTCGATAATAGTAATACAATATTCTGCCCCCCAAGCCCTGGGCAGAACAGGTCCCCAATATCGCCGACGCTATGACATGGGTGAGAGGTAAATACAAACGGATATAGAGTACATGATGATTTACATTTTTCAGCTCGACTTCTTCGAGCTATCCTTGCTGGCATCGCTGCCAGCATCCTTGTTTTCCGTATCCTTGTTGGAGTCTTTGGAGTCAGCTTGGGATGGCTTGGAGGAATCACTAGGCTTTTCCGTGAGTCGATGCCAGACAGACTTCAGGAAACCTTCGTTTTTGGCAGCATCATCGGTACTACCAGAAGCAGAGGAGGGGCTATCAGGGTAGTTAAATCAGTACAAGAGCCAATATTCAACATGAACTGTGCATCTTACCTATCCTTGCTGAAGTTCATTGTCCGCTTCGCTGTCTTATCGTTCATCTCGTCGGCGAGGACCTCCAAAATGGTGCGCTGGTTGCCTGTCAAGTACTTGGGCATGGCAACCTTAAATTCGACCTTAAGATCGCCATTGGGAGTGAAACCGCGAGTACGGCCATTAAGCTTCTTCATGCCCATTCCTGACAAAGTGATCCGGTCACCGGTACCGGTACCGGTGGCTACCTTGACCTTCACTTGATTGTCGAGAGTTGGGATGGTCACCTCACCACCAAGGATGGCGGTGGTGAGGGGAATTGAGGCTGTGTAGAGAATGTCGGACCCGGAGCGGCTGAAGCGATGGTCTGGAGCGACTCGGATAGAGACGTAAAGATCACCAGGTCGGGTGCGAGCACCAGACGGAACAGCTGTTCCAGTTGGTGGGGAGTCACCTTCGCCGGTGACACGTAGACGCATGCCATCTTCGACACCACCGGGGATGTCTACCTTGATAGTCTTACGCTCTCGGATCACACCATTTCCATTGCAGGGGCTGCACTCTGATCCCCGGGGAACAGACATACCGGCACCTCCACAAGCGTCACACGTGGCGGCGACTTGGAAGCCTCCCTGCATGAGATGAACGCGGGTACCTGTGCCGTTGCACTGACGACATTGGGACCGCTTGGCACCGGACTTCAACCCGTCACCTTTACAGGTTCCGCACTTGGTCAACGGCGTGATGACGATTTCCTGAGACGTGCCCTTCGCAGCGTCCATGAACGAGATGTTTGTTTGCACCTCAATGTCTTCACCGACCAAAATCTGTTCCTGGAAAGGGTTGCGCCCACCCCGGGGTCCACGGCGCGCTCCTCCGGTAAAGGCTCCAAAAAGATCCTCGAAGTTGATGTCGCCGGAAAAGCCCCCGCCAAAGCCACCTCCACCGCCAAAGCCATGGAATCCCCCCGCACCAGAGAATGGGCTGCCGCCTGCGTTTGGATTGAACCCGCCATTCTGATCAAAAGCGGCCGAGCCATACCGGTCGTAGTTCTCTCGCTTCTGGGCGTCGGATAATAACTCGTAGGCTGTTTGGGCTTCGGAAAACTTGTCTTTGGCTTGGGGGTCCTTGTTGGTATCAGGGTGGTACTTCTTGGCTAAGCCGTAGTAAGCCTTCTTTATGTCACCGGCGGATGCTTTCTTATCCACGCCTAGGACCTTGTAAGGGTCGGAAACAGCTGCAAGAGGAGAGGTAGTGTGGAAGGCCTGTAAATTGGAGAAAAAGCATGTTATTTAGCAACCTGAACCCTGACAGCCCGTACAGACGACATACCCTAGCCGATATCACCAAAGATTCCTTTCTTTTGCAAACGCCCTCCCGGAGACGCCTAGCCGGAGAAGCAGAGACAGTTGCATGGTAGTTTCTTGTTTGGTTGGATGAGTGAACACTATTGCCGGATGTCTGCCTAGAATATTGTCGCTGGGACCGCAACAGACGCGCGGGGAGAGCCGCGGCCTTGGGAAGTGCCGTGGATGGATTCATGGATAGTAATAGCCGAACAACGGTTGGACAGCAGTGGTAGTTGCGAGGATGAAAGGGGGATAGATATGCGCGGGGAAATTATCAAGAAAAAAGAATGACAATTGAACAGGAGAAAGAATGGTTTCAAGAGCACCAATGACGTTCCAAACCAAGTTAAGCTACTCTCTGGATCACAGAAGCTTCGAGTTCTTTGGCCGAGAGAAGTTTCTCGGAAAAACGTGTGGCCGGACGATGATGAAAGAGTTGCTTACCGAAGCAATAATGGGGTGCTCCGACTACGGAATTCCAGCTTCCACTCTACCCATTTGTATCTAATACTTATTGCTGTCCTTTTGGAGCTGTGCCACGGGCTGTCACGGTTCTTCACTGTATCCCTTTTCATTTCCTTAACTCCATTGCCCGGGCATCCACCTCATACTCAAGGAGCATGCTCCGCGGCCAAACCCTCCCCTGGAGAGCTGTACTCCATCAAACGCCACGACCTCTCCTCCTCCGGCCGTTTCTTGCTTCACCGAGATATAATGCAACCTTTCGATCAACACTAAGTTCGACCCGCCTTGGTGACTCTCTTCCCTCGTCCTGCCGCGCCTTCTCTGCGAGCTCCATTCGGCGGAGGGAGAAACCCCCGCCAGAGGACTCTAAAGACGGATCGGAAGAGAAGGAAGAGCACGAAACTAGTCAGAATGATAAGCAAACGGAACGGGCTCCTGAATCGCGGAGGAAGGGAGCAGACTCAGGAAAGCATGTCTCTTCCGCAGATCAGTTAGCTCCTGCGCGGAGAAAAGACCGGTCATCCGATAAAGAGCGCGGAGTGGAAGAGGAAGTAAAGAAAGAAGCCAACGCATCAGATGGCAAGGGGAACTCGAACGATACTCCTTCGCCCATCCCACCAAGTGATGGCCCGGCCGACTCCAAACCCAGCGGTGCAAGCAGCGGTGGTAATAGCGGCAATGACGATAGTGGGAAGAAGGGCAAGAAGGCCTCTGGGGAAAAGGCTTTGCAAAAGCCGGCAGTTCCGGACGTTTACCCACAGGTAATGGCAATTCCCATCGCGAAACGCCCTTTGTTCCCCGGTTTTTACAAAGCGATTACTATTCGCGATCCGAATGTCGCTGTTGCGATCCAGGATATGATGAAACGGGGTCAGCCATATGTCGGAGCGTTTTTGTTCAAGGATGACAACGCCGATGGCGACGTGATTGAGAAATTGGACGATGTTTACGACACTGGAGTTTTCGCTCAAATTACCGCCGCATACCCTCTCCGTGGGGAGGCTAGCGGCGTGACAGCGGTTCTCTACCCCCACCGACGTATCAAGATCTCATCACTACTTCCCCCTGGAGAGAACACCAAGGCCGCTACACCTCCACCCGCACCTACGTCAGAAGACAAGACGACTGAAAAGCGAGGTGATGTAGTGGCCAGCTTTGAAGAAAACGCACCCGAGCCAGCTCCCAAAGACCATTACGAACCGACATCCTTCCTGAAGAAACACCCTGTCAGCCTTGTGAACGTGGAAAACTTGGCCGAAGAGCCATTCGACAAGAAAAACCCGGTTATCCGCGCGGTAACCAGTGAAATTGTTAATGTGTGCAAAGAGATCGCCACCTTGAACCCTTTGTTCCGCGATCAAATCTCGGCATTTTACACAGATCAATTCCCAGGAAACCTCAGTGACGAACCAGCCAAATTGGCTGATTTTGCTGCCGCTGTATCTGCCGGTGAGCTCCACGAGATGCAAGAAGTTCTTGAGACAATGAACATCGAGGAGCGTCTCCCTAAGGCACTTGTCGTTTTGAAGAAGGAATTGATGAATGCCCAACTGCAATCCAAGATCACCAAAGATGTCGAGGCCAAGATCCAGAAACGCCAGCGCGAATACTGGCTGATGGAGCAAATGAAGGGTATTAAGAGAGAACTTGGCATCGAGTCTGACGGGAAAGACAAGCTTGTCGAGAAGTTCAAGGAGAAGGCTGAAAAGCTTGCCATGCCTGAGGTTGTCAAGAAGGTCTTCGATGAGGAGATCAACAAGCTAGCACACCTTGAACCTGCTGCATCCGAGTTCAATGTCACTCGTAACTACCTGGACTGGCTAACCCAAATCCCCTGGGGCCAGAAGAGCGTGGAAAACTTTGGCGTCAAGAACGCAGTCAGTGTCCTCGATGAGGATCATTACGGGCTGAAGGATGTCAAGGATCGTATTCTTGAGTTCATCGCTGTGGGCAAGCTTCGTGGAACTGTCGAAGGAAAGATTCTTTGCCTTGTCGGTCCGCCCGGTGTTGGAAAGACTAGTATCGGCAAATCGATTGCTCGTGCTCTGAATAGACAATACTACCGGTTCTCGGTTGGTGGTTTGACCGACGTGGCAGAGATCAAGGGTCACCGACGAACCTACGTTGGTGCTCTCCCGGGGCGCATTATCCAAGCCCTCAAGAAGTGTCAAACTGAAAACCCTCTAATCTTGATTGACGAGGTTGACAAAATCGGGCGTGGCCACCAGGGCGATCCGTCCTCTGCTTTGCTTGAACTCCTCGATCCCGAACAAAACAACTCGTTCTTAGACCACTATATGGATGTTCCTGTGGATCTTTCCAAGGTCCTTTTCGTCTGTACCGCCAACGTGACCGATACTATCCCTCGGCCACTGTTAGATCGTATGGAACTCATCGAATTGTCCGGCTACGTGGCAGATGAGAAGATGGCGATTGCTGAGAGATACCTCGCCCCCGCCGCTCGGGAGCTGACTGGCCTGAAGGATGTGGATGTGAACCTGGAACGGGATGCCATCGAGGAGTTGATCAAGTCGTACTGCCGTGAGAGCGGTGTCCGTAACTTGAAGAAGCAAATCGAAAAGGTCTACCGGAAGGCAGCATTCAAGATTGTCCAAGACCTAGGCGAGGATGTGATGTCCGAAGAGGCGGCTCTGACCGAAGCGGGCAAGGCTGCTCAAGAAGAGTCCAAGGAGCATGAGCCAGCAGATCCTACGCAAATACCGATTGAGCCAGAGAAGGCAACCACAGAGGTTCCTCGAGTGGCCCTCAAGGTTCCCGACAGTGTGCATCTTAGCATCGGCAAGGGAACCTTGAAGGATTACGTTGGACCTCCTGTTTTCACCGCCGACCGCCTGTACGACCAATTCCCTCCCGGTGTCACCATGGGTCTTGCATGGACCAGCATGGGTGGAGCTGCTCTGTACGTTGAATGTATTCTGGAGAATGCATTGAGTCACAACTCGCGCCCAGGGCTCGAAATCACCGGCAACCTACAAAATGTCATGAAGGAGTCCACTCACATTGCGTATTCCTTCGCCAAGTCGGTTATGGCGCGGCAATTCCCTGAGAATCAATTCTTCGAAAAAGCGAAGGTTCACTTGCACTGCCCTGAAGGCGCTGTTCCAAAGGATGGTATGTGAAACTTAAATCCGTTAATTAATATTATAACAAGTTGGCGGCTAACCATTCAATAGGACCCTCTGCCGGTATCACTATGGCTAGCGCCTTGTTATCTTTGGCTCTCAACCACTCTCTTGAGCCAACCGTTGCCATGACCGGAGAGTTGACTGTGACTGGTAAGGTTCTGCGCATTGGAGGCTTGAGAGAGAAGACTGTGGCTGCTCGTCGGGCTGGTGCCACAAAGATCCTTTTCCCTGCAGACAACACATCTGACTGGCTTGAGCTCCCTGAGGTGAGTCATGAATCTATCCAGTCCTAGTGGTTATCTTAGCTGACTGTTTTATCTAGAACATCAAGGAGGGTATCGAAGGCCACCCGGTGAACTGGTATTCTGAAGTGTTTGACCTTCTTTTCCCCAGTCTCGACCAGGAGGCTGCCCGCACCATCTGGCAAAAGGCATTGGCCAAGCCCAAGAAGGGTAGCGAGGAGGCTAATGAAGAGTAGCGTGCTGATACCTTTTTACCTTTTTAGTTTAGGGGTCCATTTTGTGTCATGTCGTATATACCTGTTGTGTTTTTACGTTGTATAGCTTTTTGTGTGATTTACTGTATACATGGCGTCTTTGTCTTCCGACACGGAATGCATGGTTGGAGTTGAAGGACTGTTAGTAGGCCTTTCGTTCCCATGTGAGATGTATGGACTAGAGCGAGAGCCAAAAAAAGATTACTCCACTCAAAACAGGAGGCGTTCTATAGTAAGGTACATTTGTATAGTAAACAGTGATATTGCGAATAATGCGAAGATAATGCAAAGACTCACATGTATTTCGTATATCGAGTAATATTCATTAAAACTTAGGGCTGCTGTCGTGTCATATAGATTGACGCCAAAATAAACAGGGCGTGAACGGAGCCCCCAATCAGGCATAAGGGTCAGGCCGCAACGCATCCTCGAATTTTGATCTGTGCGCCTTTCGATGAATCATATCTTTATTCTATTTTTTTTCTCCCTCACCCTTGTGTCCCTTAGAAGGGCTTTTGATTGATCTCCTGCAAGGTCCTTTTGCCTCCAGACATTCGAAGCCTTGCAGCGGAAGCATCTCATCACCGCTATCAAACGGCTGCAGGCGATTCCTTAGAAGAAAAAAAAAATTTAGAGGGAGAAAAAAAAAAAAAAAAAAAAACAAAACCACTTATACCTAAGAAATTTCATCTTGACCGACATCTCTCTTCCCCTTTTGCACCCGCCCTTTTTATGAGCTTGTGCTGGGCCGGTCTCCCAGCCTCGTCCATTGCAGCCCGACGTTGTGCGACACTTGGACGTTGGACCTCGACGTGAACCTTCCAACTCTCCAACCTCGAAAGGAAAAACTATTTGGAACTGGTGGGACGAAAACCGTGTTAGTGTGTCAGTGCGACGCCAAACTTCCCTGCCTCCTTGACCCTGTCTCAATTCTTATGGACATCGGAGATTCGGCCAGCGGGGTGTTCGAGTCGTTCCTTGCACGACAGAGCGGCTTGCCGTATGGCCATCTCTGTTCCCAACTCTTGTAGCCCGACGCGGCTGGCTTTTCTGGACGACAAAGGCGGAAATCCGCCAAAGCAGAGTATGTGGCACCGGTTGGGTTTGCGAAAATTATGGCAGGGCCGCGACGATCATCGAGACACGTCTGCCGGGGAGAGTCAAGATGAGATTTCTCCCCGTCCTTCTTCTGATAACTCCCGCAAACAAGACAACCTGACACGTCGACTCTCGCGAAAAGTTGGCGTTCTACCACGGACCACTCCCTTTAAGCGACCGAGCTCCGATCTCGAGCGACTGGCTCCTCGAGAACCCGATCACCGCCGTGCCCTCTCCGCCGACCGTCGCCCCTTAAGTTCCCAGAGAAGCAGGTCTCCACCGCCAACCGTGGGCCCCAGACAGTCCGCGCCCGAGGTTCAGTGGCTCGGCCCGGCTTCCACAACCACGGTCGATGACCCCCCGGAACCGGAATCCGAAACGAACGATGCTCCTGAGATTAACGATATCTCCGAAAATTCAAACCCCTACCTTGAAATGACGGCGGATAATTTCGATGCACCAGAGGAGGAGGAGGCGGATGACCACACAATCGATCTGGATATGGAACTGGAACAACGGTGGATTTTGAACCTGAGCATGCACTTCCGAGATGGGTCAGAGCGGGAGAAATTCTTTGTGACCTACGCGGAGACACCGAACCGATGGCGCCGAGTGACGATTTCCTGCGATTACCACGATGCACCACCTTATTCACTGGAGCGGGAACTGAAGGAACTGCGGTACCAGCGCGACAAATGCGCACGGATCTACGAATCCATTCGCGAGTCCCTTCTTGCGATCCAATTCTATGAAGGTGTCACGAATCTCAGGCTCGAGACGAGCGATGGCCGTTTACACGTTCATGTGACGGAGGACGTAAACGAAACAATCCCATACCCTCCCATCTCCAGCGTCAGGCATTTGGTCAACGCTCCTCTCATCCCCGAAGACCTGTTGCATTTCGAATCTCATTTATCCGGCTTTGTTTACAAAATAAATCTGGACGGACGTTTCTATATCAAGAAGGAAATACCTGGTCCCGACACCGTGGACGAGTTCCTCTACGAGATTAACGCTTTGCATGCGCTGAAAGACCGCCCAAGCGTGATCCAGGTGGAAGGAATTGTGATCGATGATTGGCGAGGCGTCGTCAAGGGCTTGCTAATTAGCTATGCAGAAAAGGGCGCACTGGTTGACATTCTGTACGAGCAACGCGGGAGAACGAGCTTTGCGCGACGCGAGCGATGGGCAAAGCAGATTGTCCAGGGCCTCTGTGAGATCCACGAATCGGGCTACGTGCAGGGCGACTTCACACTCGCGAACATTGTGGTGGATGCAGACGACAACGCCAAGATCATTGACATCAACCGCAGAGGATGCCCAGTGGGGTGGGAGCCCCCGGAAATCGCCGCTAAGATCGAGAGCAACCAGCGCATCTCTATGTACATTGGCGTCAAAACTGATCTCTTCCAACTGGGTATGACGCTGTGGGCATTAGCGATGGAAGAAGACGAACCTGAACGACAACCGCGACCTCTTCGACTGGGTGATGATGTGAAGATTCCAAACTATTACCGACGGATAGTGGATATTTGTTTAAGCCCAACTCCGCGACATAGGCTCTCTGCGAAGGATCTCTTCTCTATGTTCCCCCAACTACCGGAAGCACGGGTATCGACACCTGTCCAGTCACTGGAGACCATTGCCAATGATTCTAGGCATTTGCCAATTAGCAACTGGGCTCACCCTCAGCCTTCTAGGCTTGGACTGACATCGCCAGGGGGTATGACACAGCAAGATGATCATTATTATCCCCAAAAGGAGTTTGCGGGGAATTCTTATGGTGATCTGCAACACCCCGTATTCTCTGAAAACCACGACCTCGTCAAGCAATCAACAATAACTCTCGCAGAATCCAATGGAGACATGGGATTCCTATCTAAGCCATCTTCTTCCTCTACATTGAATCACCACGAACCTCACAACCCTAACGAGTACATGGACTTGTCCAGCCATTTCAATGATGACTCGTCACCCTACATACCCTCTGGTAGTCAGAAATCGGAAGCCACTCCAGTTTCTCAGACAAGGTCAATGGGAAATGGCTTCCACAACCACCCGGTGGAGCTACCAGCCCCCCCAAGTGAGCCTGTCTGTCTCGAAACTGCCCCCATGAATAATCAGCAAGAGACACCTGATGAGCGGATCTATAATAATTCCCAAGCTTTGCTTGGCTCTACAGTCACCGCGTCTCCACTCCCGCCCCCAGTCAGCACATCTCTTGTTGAGTCGCAGAAACAGGAAGCTCTGAATCGACCAAGCCCAAAGGCAGCCAATGACGAGGGTGACCTTGAAACCTCAGCTTTGCCCATCAACCCTACTTTGCGTGAATCTGGTACATCAAGTGGCCCTCCGGCCATCCCATCTTCAATTAAGCATACAAAGCAGGACAGTGTGGATCAGCCATGTGCAAAGGCCACCAATGACAAGGATGATCTTGAATCCTCATCTTTGCCCCTCAGCCCTACTTTCCGTGCTTCTGGGAGTTTTGCCCCTCGATCGGTGAAAGCTTTTCCTATTGAGCCGCCAAAGCAGAAATGTGCAGATTTGTCCTGCGCAAACGTCGAAACCAACCCTATATTTACTGAGCCATCGCCCTCATCCTCATGTCTGTCTCTCTCGGAACTACCTATCAGCCCTACTTTCCGTTCTTCTGGAACCTCCATCGGCCCTTTGCCTGTTAAACCGTCAAGGCAGGATAACGTGGATCATACACGTGCAAAGGCTACCACCTATATCAAGCCCATTTCCACAACACCATCAGACGGAACATCTTCCCAACCTCTCCCGACATCACCTATCAATTCTACTCTAGCTCGCTCTGGGCCTTCGCCACTTCCGAGCGTCCCGCAATCAGTGAAATCATCTCCTATCCAGCCGCCAAAGCAGACTGATCCGACTTCGCCATTCGCAAACACCGATATTAAACCCAAGCGTACTGAGCCATCGCCCTCAACATCAAGTCTGGTCCATTCGGAATTGCCTATCAGCCCAACCTTCCGTTCTTCAGAGACTTCCATCAACACTCTGGGTGCCCCTTCATCACAGGGCCCTTCCCCTATTGAACCGCCGGAGCCGGAGCGTGCGATTATGCCACGCGATAACGAAATCACACCCACATCTCCGTCAACACCGTCTCGATTCTCTTCAATGCACATTTCGAGCCTTCGTCACACCGGGGCTTCCATTGGCTCTCTGGGTACGCCATTCGCAACAAGTCCATCTGTCGTTGGAATTGGACTGTTAAGGCGGCCTTGGGAAAAACCATCTGCAAGTAACTCAGATGTCAAATCCACATCGACAATGTCATCAGGGTCAGTCTCATCCCTCGGAACCCCTCAGACTTCAAGGAAGCCAGAGAGCCCCATTTCACCGCTCAAAACATACCCCCTCGAAACCCAAAAGAATGAACTTTTTGGCCAATCCAAACCAAAGACGGCCGATATCAAACCTACACAAACAAATCCACTGAACTCCAGCTCGAATTTACTGGGTTCGAAGTTGCCCATCAGTCCTGCTCATACAGATTCAAAGCCCAGTTCCACTTATGCCGAGGTTGATATGGCACGAGCTGCTCAGGGCCCATCTTCAAATCAGGCCAAACCGCGCATTTCGAGCCAGGCACGTTTTCCCTCGGATTGAATCTAGTCACCAACTCCATCCTCCACAAACAACTTCGTGAAACCCTCATGGACAAATTCACATCTCAAACCAACGCAAGGTTACTAATATTTTTACCAAAACAATCTTGCTACATTGGCCGCCATCCACGACGCCACGACCCATTTCTCCGAACGAGCCCCATATTCGGGGCCGAGCACTCGATACCCTTTTGATTTGCTCTGCTTGTACAGTTTATGCCTCGTCGTTTGCCTCGTGTTATTCAGCTTTTGGAAGCATTTATACCGATGGCGGGCGAAACCCTGGAGTCCTAAAAAGTCCTTTTTTTACTTTTTTTTCTCTTTGCATTTTGGCGGATTTTAATTGGATTTTGTTCTGGTAGCTTTTCTTTTGTTTCCCCTATCTCTTTTGTGATGTCCTTTTCTTGTTCCCTTTGCTGTTTATTCTACGATTTATCTGTTTTCTCTCAGCGGAGGCCCTCGTTCTGCGTTCTGGTGTTCTCACCCGGAAGTCGATGTATATTGATGGGATTTTTTTTATACCTCTTCTTGTCTGACAGGGCTGTATTATTTTTCTCTTTTTTTCGTTATTTGGAAATGCAATTCTTGGCTAGCACTGGCTTTCGCATTCTAACCGTAAATAGGCCCTGGTGTCTCCTTTTATGGAGAAATGACTTCTTACGCTTGATCATAGACAATATATTCTCCTCATTTGGTAACCAAACAGGATTCAAAACTCTCCCGCCAAGGTTCTACACTTGATCCTAGTCCTCGTCCAATCAGCACAATCTTGCACTGGAGCGGTTTAGACTTATCCTCTGTGTCTATGGGCTCCGCATCTCGAATCTCGAATACATCCCGCACGGCTTGGATGATCCTGCTTGTCCCGTCATTCAGGATCAGTATACCCTTTAACCGATGAACCTCGAAGTCTATGGGTTGTGGCTCGGATGAGACTGATTTCGTAGGCGCAGGGAATGTTGTATCCCATAAAACAGAGCGCAGCCAGGCATCCACGCAGTTGACCTTATCTGCCGGGATTGGAGGCGTAACGATCGCAGTGGTAGAAATTGCCTAGTAATAGTTAGAATCACGAGAGCATGCCCTTCCCTGTTTGGAGCAGCCAGGAAACAGAAGGCAATATAAACATACCGGGTCCATATGGCTATGTCCCTTTTTACTGAAGTCCAGATCCGCCAAGTGATCATAAGCATGCAAATCCAGCACAACACCCTCAATCTGCGGCGTCCGGCTATGATCCGTCACATGAATCTTAGCCACGCTGTTGATAGAGGCAACACGATCTCGCACAGCCTCCAGCTCTTGCTCCGTAACCAGATCGGTTTTGTTGAGGATCACCACATCTGCATGCGAGATCTGCATATGCGCCATAGACAGAACAGGGCCAGAACCGTGGTCGTGGTTCACGTCATGCGACTCGGCCTTCTCTTCAGGGGCCGGTTCATCAAGCAAGTGCATAATGTTCTTTGCGTCGACGAGAGTGACAATTCCATCGAGGTAAATAGAACTACCGAGCCCTTCGTCCATCCAGAAGATCGGGGCGATGTTGCCTGGGTCGGCAAGACCGGTTGTCTCCAAAAGAATGTAATCGAAGGTGCCGCGGCGTTCCATCAATGACTCGATGGCCATTACACCTGAGTCTTTCACAGAGCAGCAGATGCAGCCATTGCCGACTTCCATCCATTCGGTTACTTCTTGGCCACCTTGATTTACTGTCATTGGTTTTTCAATGTCCATTGCTTTGTGATATAATGTTAGAATGTAAGTTTTTCGTCCATCTGGTTGGACGCCTTACAGTCACCAAATTCTGAAACTGTATTAGCGATGTATGTCATATCACACAGCCAGGTGTAATAAACGAACCGTTCATGATCACGGCAATTTTCTTGCCGTGTTTTTCTGTCAGGATATAGTTCAACAGGGTCGTTTTCCCCGCTCCCAAGTACCCTAATTAGTGTATCAGTCTCATATTATGACTTAATTCAATATGCACTCTATTCAATCATACCAGTAACCAGCGTGATGGGCACTCGAGCTGTTGGTTCTTCACCTACCGATGTTTGGTCGGCTGGCATTGCAGACACATCGATAAGCTCCGGAGGAGCATCCTCGTCTTCAAAATTGGCAGACATAATGTCCTATTATTTGAATGTTGTGTAAATATTAGAGAAGAACACAGAGTCCGAAGAAACAGAAAGCTCGTAGATGCGGCGGATGACGTTGTTTCCCAAAATAGACTTTAGGGCACAGGGCTCGGGCGGTCAGCCGTTGTTATGTTGATGGTTGTTATCTTCAGCGTCGATGCCTGCTCCCAACATTCGACCTTTGCTTTTATTAACACGATTTAATAGGGCGTTTAGGGGCCATTCACTCTTTCATCTGTTTCTCGGTTTTCTCGCTTTATCCAGCGCCCTCGTTACACTACCGTCATGACTGCTGCGGGAGTCTCTCCGTCAAGCTCCCCGCGGCTTCCCAGTCCTCCTCCATTTACTGAGGTTCAGATTGGACCACAGTCACCGTCAGTTGGCGAATCCTTTGGCAATGATGCAGACCTTCTTGGTGGTGTGATAGGAGAAAACGATGGCTCGACGCGCAGAATCCGGCCAGGGACCAAATCCGCCAACATGGGTCTGCCGGCGATTCCCCTAGAGCAGGTTAGTTGCTCCCCGCTACATATTTTCGACATTACTGACAAATTCAGATAAATTCTCCATTCCAGCTCCAGGAGCACCTCAAAGCCCAGTACCATAAGCTTGCGCCCAAGTACACCGAACTTATGGAGAAGTACGATCTGCTTATGGAGAAGTACGATGTGCTTATGTGGGAGTACAATGAGCTGAAGCGCAAATCATCTGACAAGGCGGACCCGAAGTATGATGTGCTTATGGAGGAGTACAATGTGCTTTTGGAAGAGTACAACAAGCAGAACCCCGACGAATTCGACATGGTGGACCGGACAAGCGAGGTTGCGGAAGAGCCGACAGAACCCTCAGAGATCAAAGTTGCCAAAGAGCCGAGAAAACCTGGGAGCGAGGTTGCGAACGAGCTGACCAAACCCCCGAATGGGTTCGAGGAAATTGGTTGGAAGTACGAACTATGTCGCTTCTTCACTCTCGAAGTTAATCGCCTGGTCGAGGGCTTTTTTGCTGAGAGCCCGCCATGCTCATCGCAAACTTGTCCCGAGATGCGAGTCAACGATTGGCAGTATATTTGCGCGGGCGCGGGGCACGATAGAGCCAAATATTGCTGCGCTATTGACTATTGCTGCCATACTCTGGATTGGGCCATGAACATTCTCGCCTCGGAAACTTTCGACAAACGACTTGTATTGCCAAGTCATGACAAAATCAAGAAACCTTTGGAAGATATCTTCCGCCGCCTCTACCGCTTCTTCGCTCACGCGTGGTTTCGCCATCCTGGTGTGTTTTCGAAGGTAGAGAGGCATGGCGGTCTGTACGTCTTTTTCAAGACCGTTTGCGTTCACTACAACCTTATCGCGGACTACACGATTCCTCTTAGGGCTGGAGGACCCGATGAAGCCGCAGCAGCCAAGAAAAGGAAGGAGGAAGCCGAGGGAAAAGCACCCAAGGAAAAACCTATCAACAGCAGCAATCGCTTCACTATTCTACGCAAGGAAGGTGATAATCCATTCGGTACCGCTGCGGAGAGTCAGGACCCGGCGCTCGTCACTAGCGCGACCACCCGTCGCCACAAGCACAGTCCTTCAACAGGATCGCGTGTTACACCTATCGCGGAGGATGCGGAGGACTTGGAAGAGATTACACCATCGCCATTGCGTGAGCCCCTGGAGCAATCACCCGAACCGCGGCCTGTTTCCGTTTTGGAAATACGGACTAGAGAGGAACCTACTGTCGCGGATGAGCCACCTACTGATGTAGGAAATCTCTCCGAAGAGCCAGTTGAGGAACCCCAGGAACAGCCACCGCAAGAACCCTATGAGCAGCCCTCTAAAATTCCTGAAGTTCAGGAAAAGATTGAGCAAGTTGAGCAGACTGAGCAGACTGAGAGGACGAAGGAACCCCTCTCCGAAGACTCGGCTACGAACTCAGAAGCGCCCATCGAGGAGCATGCTACGAAAGGCGATGGAAATACAAATTCCTACGAAGAGGCAACTCCTGCTGAAAAGCCCGAGGCAGAGACTGAAGTGTTACAGGAATCTTCCGTTGCCCCTGAAACCAAGGACGAGCCAGAGAAAGAGCAGACTTGACATCAACATCCTCTCGAACCTTTCACGCCAATCTCACACTGATGATAATTGACTGTTTGTATGTATTCTTCATATCTCCCTTTTTTTTGTTACCCTTGCGATCAGCGATGAGTCGCAATTCTTTGGCTCGATACTCTTTTTGTAATATAGTTCAGGATATTGCTTATGACCAATGTCAATGATACCCATTCTCCTGTGCTTTCTCGATATATTCATGGTTAAAATAAGGATATGGTTCGTAGATCTCACCTGGGCTGCCGCATCGGTATCTACCTAGAAATATGTCAATAGGTACATCGTGTACACATGTAGGTTAACCCAAGGTGAAGGGGATGATCTTGATATCTGATAAGCGCTTATCGACATATCGCCCGACATCACCAGAAAACAACCGGGACAACCTTGGAATCTTCCCAAATTCACCTCAATATCCTATATCCAATACCGAAATGTCAGCTCTCAAAGGCGCCAAAACGCCAATCTACTTTGGTTCCTTCATTGTTACACCACAGGTAAATCTCATCTCCCAAAAAAAACCCCCAGTCTCCTCAACCAACACCAACCACATTATAGCACAGAACCAGCCATAGACACAAGCACAGCCATTAACATGACTAACCCTAGCACACCAACATAACTAACAATTTGCTCCCAAACCTCAGGTCTTCCACACAACCCCCTTAACCTTCGCCCTGGTAAACCTGAAACCAATCCTCCCAGGCCACGTCCTAGTCTCCCCACGTCGCGTCGTCCCCCGCGTCACAGACCTCACCCCTGCCGAAACAAGCGACCTCTTCTTAACAGTGCGGCGCGTGGGCCGCATGGTCGAGCGCGTATACGGTGCCACGAGCTTGAACATCGCCATCCAGGACGGCGTGCAGGCCGGCCAAAGCGTGCCACATGTCCATGCGCATATCATTCCGCGCAAGGCGGCAGATCTGGACCATGCCGGTGGCACGGATGCGGTTTATGACTTGCTTGATGGGGATGAGGGGGATTTGGGGAGGGCGTTCAAGAATGCCGTTACTACGGAAGAGGGTAATCAGTCGACTGAGGTTGGGGATAGAAATGCTGTGAATTCGGGGAGGAGGTCTAGGTTCCCGGTTGTAGATAATGATGCACGCAAGCCTCGTGATGAAGAGGATATGAGGGCCGAGGCTGAGATGTTGTCGCAGGAGATGGAGAATGAGCCGCTTGATTGATTGGGTCTATGTCTTGGATATGAAGGTCCTGGACAATTGTATACATATGATTCTAATAGAGAACAGATATGAAAGTTCACTAGTAAGGGAGACGCTTGAGGAAGTCCTGGTGAAGTCCTGGGTGGCCCCGCTGTTCAGGTCATTGGTGACCTCTTGATAGATCAGGAATAAGGTATTGTCCTACACCACGATATCGTGCATATCTGGGAAGGCGCTTTCCAAGATCCATCCACAACTTTGATGGTCTTATTCTTGAGTACTAGCTGACTGTTCCTCCAATTCTCGGGAAGGAGGACGTCGGTGAGCATCGATATAGTTGCCTTGTCGAACAACAAACACGCTGAGTTGCGAGCGGGAGCCCATAACCAGAATTATTTACCCTCGTCATCGTATCATGGCAGGGCTAGTACTTGAGCTCTAACGTGGGCATTGAAATGTCAGGTATCTCGGCTAGGGTATCTTGATCCTCGACCACGTCTACCGAGTACCTCGTCACAAACACGTAGAAGCTCTGGGTAAGATCCTCCTCATAGAACTTTTTCGAAATCTTCAAAAGAGAGAAGTCAACTTCATTTCGGCGTAGCTTCGTATCTCATGTCAGGCTGGATTATATATAAGCATTTCGAAATGGCCGTGTTGTTGTTTTGATATCGGCCGCGCCGCCGTGGCTAAATCATCGAAGCTGTGGTCCTGTAGCACTGGACGAACTTCGAGAGTTGGATCGACTATGGTATAAGCACGAATAACCAATGTGTGTTCCTCGCCCACTCTATTAGAAAAGCCAAGAATTCGAAGTTGCCGAGGCAGAACGACACATACTTACCAGACATCAAGTATAGTGAAAATGTAATACTACGCCCAAAGCGTTTTAGAAATCATGTGTTCTCGTAACTCGTCCGCTATGGTATCTAAAGTACCGTACCCGAAAAAAAAAAAGAAATGCAAAGATGAAAATGAAGAAACAAACGCCGAAAACGCAATGGGTCTCAGTGCATGCATTCCCCATCACCTATTTCCTGCGATCATGGCGCATGCATATCTATGCCTTGTTCGGTCTCCCCAGAATAACTTCATCAGCCCATTTCTGAATCGGTTCAAACTGAATGCGCTTCCTGACATGGGTGAACTCGGTGAGATCCACCTTATGCGCGCGCTCATACTCAACCATTTGCAACAGCAGCTCCATCTTGTCGATATCATGCACGAATTTGGCCTCATCACTCTCGTTCGCCTCGTATTCCTCAAAGATTTCTTTGATTTCCCCACCCGAAAGGGCACCCCCGGGGGACCTTGCCGAGGAGGGTAGAGGTGATGTAATCCATAACGGAGGCCTCACGACGAGCCTTCTCGGGCTTAGTGACGGGATCGACTGGAGTGATATCGCCGACAAGCGCCTCGGCCATATCATGGATCAAGGCCATCTTTATGCAGCGCGGAATGTTGATCTTCTCTGCCAGGGACGGCGGGGCCATCATCGTCATGATCGACATGCGGTACATATGGTCAGAGATTGACTCTCCATTATCGATGCCGAAGCGGCGCCAGCCCTCGCGCTTGGTAGTCTTAAGGCGCTCGATCAAGTGGAAGAAGGGGACAGGCGACGTAGAGTTCTCCTCTAGGCGGTAGGGGAGGGTAGAGAGCACTACAGATATCAGCTTCGCGGGGTCTAAGAAGAGGGTTTTGAGGCTTACCGGTCTCGGGGGTCCACGTAGAGTTGTCGGAGACCATGGCTGATGCCTTTGGGGAGAGAGAATGACCGAGAGAACGAAAGAAACACAACCAAAGAGGGTAGTTGGGAAGCAAAAAAAAAAAAACAAACTACACCAGCGCGGGACTGATATAAGCTGCAAACAATGCAAACTTTCGTTATCTATGTTTACTCTTCGCCGCCCGTTTACTGAAGTCCCCTTTGACACAGGATGGCTGCAACAAGGCCTGTTCGGCCGAAACCCCTGGACTGGCCGGGTCCCTCGCATTTGGATGTGTTCATTCGCAACCTGAAGCTGTTACATCTAGATCAACGCGAGGATTGGCCCGGTATATCTCTCCGCGCCTTAACCCCAACATCACAGAACCAACGACACCGAACCCGACTGATAGAATGGGCCCTGTACCACCTCTACGCCATTTGGGATCCGGAGACCGCCCAAGATGTACGGTTACTCAATTGCCAGCTTCGAATTTTCTGAACTTTACTGACATCCCCTGCAGAAACTCCGGCCCTTCTTCCCCCCGTTAGAGCCTCTACAGTCTGTCAACCTCCGCGCGGCCTTGTTTCGGTGTCTAGGTGAATTGAAGAAGAACGGCGATCTGGGAAGGGAGATTATTCTTCGCAAAACCATGCTGGATGATTGCAAGGGCGATAAATTCGAGGAGCTGCTCGCTGGCTTCTCCGCCGCCGTTCTCCGTAAAGTTGTGGCGGTGTCCGCGGACGAGATGCTTTTGAATCCTGCCATGAAACTTTCGACTACAGCGGCCATGACCCTAACCGACTATCAGAACCTCCTGCCGCTCGTTCTTGCTCACCAAGTATCTCTTGGTTCTGCGGGAGAGCGCCATGCCCGAGTTAGAGAGGCGTATAATCGGTTCTCACAGCTCCTAGATCATAAAAAGGTCGAGCTGGCCGAACGTGCGAATCAAGGATCAAGTGATTACATGGATGACACGCAGAGCGAGCCGGAGAGCTTGGTGCGTGAGTTACAAACAAATTGGCTGGGCAGCGAAGAATGGGCCACTGCACTGCTGAAAGGCGGATCACAAAGCAGCACTGATGCTTTTCTGGAACTCCCTTTCTCTGAGGCATGGATGCGAGCAAAGGACTCGAATGTAGACAGTCTCAGCGGTGGCTTGAAGCAGGATCTGGTTCTTGATTTGGAGGCTCGGGTTCTACTTCAACGAAATCGACTACGCAAGTGGCATGAATACAACAAGTCCCTCTTACAGGAAAGAGGCCCCAGCGAAATAAGCACAGCCCTGCCTAAAGAACCACGTGTGCTATTCCGGGATCACCAGTCTCTCACAGTTGCTAGTATATCCAAATCTGTTCGCCAACCCGGGGATCGCGGGCGGACGTTGAAAGGCCCAGAGAAATATCTCCTATCCTCTGTAAACGAGGCCCTATCCCGTATCAACGGCAAATCTCGCGTCAAGCCTGCAGTTTTCACACCGGAGGTTAAAACGAGCAGCAAACTACAATTCAAAAGCTCGGAGATTATCAGCTCGCCATCAACAGTGGCTGAAGATCACCACGCCACAGGTCATCCAACAGACTTAGAAATCCAAGAGCTCCATCAAGGGCCTGAGCCCAAGCCCAATCCATATCCAGAACCAGAGTACACTCAACCCTCTCCCCCAATCGTCCGCCTCTCTCCAAACCTCCCCTCATCAGGCGACGAACCAGGCCCAGAACCAATCAAACGCACCCACACCTTAGCCGAGCGCACGCGCAGATCAATGTCCCTCCTTCCACCCGTGGCCCACGAAGCGCCACGGCCCCGCCGCAGAGCCCGCCCGTCATTCCCGGTCAACCAGTTCGTGACGCCGCGGAAGACCTCCGCGCACTCAACTCGTTCGAGGGGCGAGATCTCACGTGCTTCGACGCCACAGGATCAACTCTTCGAGGAAGATGCTGAGTACGCGAGTGTCTTTAAGTCGCGGCCGCGTGTGGCACTCAGTCCTATCTCGTCGCCGGCTGTGCATGTCAGTCCATCTTTTGAGGAGGAGAATTTTGAATTAGATTACGAGGATGGGGATGAGAGCGAAGGTTGTGAGTGGGGTGATATTGATTCGCCTTTGGCTGCTCCACGATTGAGGGGCTAGGTCGTCAAAGTGTACATATACGTTCGAACTACCGAATTACACATACCTAGGTAGATATAATATCTACTTGACCGACACGATACTCAGCGGTCTTTTTCTCCTCCAGTCGGGAATGGATCTTGTTAAATCAGCCAAAATTCGGCAGATTCACCAAATATGACCCATAAACAATAGCCGCGCAAAGCGGAACGGAGACAGCAAAGTAGATCCAGAATTTCGGGTGACCCGGTGCATATTCACCAGCCATGCTGAATGTTGCTGCTACCCATGACAGAGGTATAAAAACAAGAGCGACATAAGTCAACCGCCTCACATTTACAGATTCTGCTATCGACTGTTGCGCATCAGAGAGCTGGACCATCGACGTTACGACTGGGATTATACGCTCCAGCGACTGACCATACTGCTCAATCTGGTTGAGTAGTAGATCGAGGTCATTCACAATTAGGGACCAGACGCCTGGGTCCCCATTTTGTTTTCAAGTAGTCCAGTAGTGCACGAAGTGTCTTGTCGATTGAATTTTGTGTTGGGATTGGAGAGATCGGTGTCGCCATTTCTGAAGGTCTATCATGTCACCTCGTTCACCGCTGATAGCAGAGTTGACGTTACGGAGGGAGTATTCATAGTATGATAGGAGTCCTGCGGAATCTCGCTCTTCGGTTGTGGATCGTAGTAGCTGACGGCTCAAGGATATCTGACGTTATGGAGGTTTAGACTAGCTATCATCCAGAAAACTCGATCACTTCGAGGAGACACGCCCAACGGGGGATGAATTTCTAGAAATACTACATCCCGAGAGTTCACTAAGTCTAAGACAAACCCAAACTCTTGGAACTTCGAGCCTTATGCGAGTATTTGCTACGTTGGGGGGATGTGCTCTGGAAACACAGCGTCTGCTTGTCCACGCTGGGCTGCTTTTTGATACACCCCGGAATGTCGCTTATTCCGAAAATCAATATTGAAGAGTATGTGTGCACCAGCTGTCCGGTCGTCTTTGTCGATATTCTTAATCAGGAGTTTGTGCAGACGGAAGCTGCGGAGACCAGCGGCGACATGCAGCCGATATCGAGAGGACATCCTTTTCTAGATATACCGACTTCTAGTCCCAGCTTCAGAAGGGGTAGATGCTCCTGGGAAGCCGGGCTTCCGATGGCTCGCGCTTCGTTGGAGCCCACGTGGTTTGGGTTTGACATGATCGCGGCCTACCTAGACCGCCCTGATGCCTTATGATACATTTACTACCTAGTTATGACCTGCTGATCAATAGTTAGACGCTGGGCTGAAATTCCCCTTATTGGCGCGATGGTTTTTTAGTCCGGCAGTAAATAGAACTCTTCATCGTTGTACTCCGTCGTAGCTGCTGCATTGAGCCAGGAAAGAGAGAGCTGCATGATACATAGCGTCTTAAAAGTATGAAAACAGCCGATGTCGAACAATTTCCACTGCAAAAATATCAAGGGTTTGTTGGCTGCGATACCCCAAAGGGCGTTTCAAAAGACCCCAAAGAAGTCCGAGGCAAAGGATTTTAAAAAGTGAACAGCAAACGCATAGGGATATAAGAATCAAGCGACATTGGAGAGTGTTGCCAGACTTCCTTGACGGGATGTACGTATGTAGATGAGAATTCTGGCTCGGGTCCGTTTGCTCTGGGGTTAACTAGATAAAAGATGCCTTGGTTGATTGTAAGCCAGTGTGAAGATTTGAAGGGATGATAATGCTAGGACGACTAGAAACAGTTGAAGTAGCGGTTAAAGGCCATTTTGATTCCTTGACATTTTTCTCTGGCATTTTACTCCCATGCTCTGTATATAATCTCTCGGCCCAATTTTTCGATCCTGACTCGACCTAACCAAGACACTAATAGCTTCACTTATTGACTAGTAGCGTACCAAAACCAGACCCAATGCAAACCAAAGGCCCTCCCCAAAATCAGACTTTATGCAAAATTACAGCTATCTGGCCTTTCGCCCATTCAAATCATCAAATCTATCTACCCCAACTCCAAGCGGTGCCTCCCGCTCTCGCGTGCGGGGTCCAGGGAATACTATCGAGTTAGGACGGAACGCTTATCTCTGAACAGCGATTACCTTCCTATACCGGCCTAGAAATATCTTAGAGCACCGGCAAAGCGACCTGTTAGAATGAGATGACTAGAGCGATGTTTATCTGACCATGCTCTGCCTTCTCCAACTATCTAGGAGTAATGCTGTTGCACTGGCGCTGATCTCTCTTGCCGTACACTCGCTCGGCTGTATCACAGATAAACGAATCGACAGCCAACCATACACAATACTAGTACTAAGTTCTAGGCTCGTTTTAGTTCTTATTATCAACCCAGGCGGCATATGCCGCACTTCTCATAACTCCACACGCTGTGACTGGTATCTTAGATTGACAAGCTTCTTCAGGAAGGTTGGTGCGCAGTTGTATCTATTGCCGGGCTTGATAGCTTCCTGTTTGGGATTGATGCTCTGATTATCTCCCTTGGCCAAGGTGGAAGAGAGGGGCTAGAGAGAAGGCAATGTTTGCTGAGATGCTGTATTACTAGAGGGGGTATGGATATATTAGGAGTTGTAGTTGGATTTTTTGACCCTCGCTTCATCCCTCTTTTTGCTTTACCATTGTCGAGCTACGTTTCCTGCGTTCTCGGTGTGCTATACCTAAGGTAGACCCCTAGACGAACCAACCCAACCACCGAATCGACAATCAAAATTCACAATGGGGTCAGACTCTTCAGAAGGACATACACAGTCTGTCGGTGGAAACCTCGATATAGAAACCAAAAATGGAATGATAGCGACCGGAAAAGCAGATGCCGCCCTCGAGTTCCTGCGCACGGAAGATATCGCAGTCATAACAGAGGTAGATGAAAAGGCACTCGTGCGAAAGATTGACTGGATGATCATGCCATTGATGTGGGCAGCGTATAATCTTCAATATCTTGACAAGGTACTCAGTAGGTAAAGCTTTGGAACCAGTAAGAGAATGTGTCTAATCATCGTGTTTACAGTCAACTATGCATCCGTCATGGGCTTGCTCAGCGACACAAATATGCACACTGATCAATTCTCCAACCTCACGCTTGCGTTCTATGTGACATACTTATTCTTCGAGCTTCCGACTGGATTCCTCATGCAGCGCTTGCCGACTGCTAAGTACTTGGGGGTTAATGGTGGGTCATGGTTCATGATTTTGATATCTGGTGTGCTGACCCATTAGTTACAATATGGGGTCTTATGACGACCTTAAATTGCACTGCAAAGAACTTTCCAGGTCTGATGGTCCTTCGCGTACTGCTTGGATGTTTTGAAAGTGCGATTGCGCCTGCGTACGTGCACTCTCCAAGAACCCCCTTCTTAGACCTCTTCTTATATCATTTCAGATTGATCCTGATCACATCGATGTGGTACAAAAGAGACGGTACGTTCATTTTCATACACCAACCATACTATACTAACCAACAACAGAACAACCCCAAAGAATGGGAATATGGTATCTAGGCACAGGAACAGCCTCGATAATGGGCGCCCTAGTAGCCTACGGTCTCCTCTTCTACACATCAGACCAATTCAAGCCCTGGCAAATAATATTCCTCATCTTCGGACTAATAACCATCGCCGTCGGAATCAGCATCTTCTTCTTCCTCCCCGACAACCCCATGACCTCCCGTCTAACCCACGCCGAGAAAATCCTCGCAATCGAACGTCTCCGCGAGAACCAAACCGGAATCGAAAACAAGCATTTCAAGCGCAACCAATTCGTCGAGGTCTTCCGTGATCCACAGACCTATCTCATCGCCATCATCGTCACAGTCATGAACGTCCCCAATACAGCCACGAGCAGCTTTACCTCGATTATCATCAAGAATTTCGGCTTCACCACCAAGGAAACAGAGTTACTGAATATCCCCAATGGAGCAGTCAGCATAGTCAGCATCCTTACTGCATCGTATTTCGCAGGCTGGTACAACCAGCGCTGTCTATGCGTAGTGGCGTCACTGGCGTGCGGTCTTTTAGGCGGGTGTTTACTTGCGTTCTCGCCTAAGAATATGAAAGGCGCCCAACTTGCCGGAAACTATCTGACGCAGGTTACTGGGTCTGCCCTGCCAATTATGTACTCACTTGCCGGTGCCAATGTCGCCGGTCATACGAAGAAGGTTTCCATGAATGCTATTCTGCTTATGTCGTTTTGTCTGGGAAATATTTTTGGTCCGCTTACTTTCCGCACTGAGGATGAGCCGGATTATATTCCTGCTAAGATTGCCATTGTTGTTACCATCTCGGTGGCAATTGTGTTTACGATTGGACTGAGGACCTACTATGTTTTGGAGAACCGGAGGAGGGACAAGAATCTGGAAGGCGAGGTTCATCAGGAGAACTCCGAGTTTTTGGATATGACGGATTGGGAAAATCGGGAGTTTAGGGTGAGTTGTACTTCCTCGCATCCATTGAGATAGTAGCTGACTCTTTTAGTACAAACTTTGAACATTCCAGGGTTCTAAGGTCATATTGGATTGGAGTTCCCGCTGAATTGCAACATGTTTCCTTTTCTGGAATGGTTCCGCTCTTTTTTGGGCAGTCGCACACGCCAATTAGCTGCAGAAAACAATTCAAACCCTACTCGTTCTACAAAGAGTAAATGTGATGTACGTTAAACTCGGACAAACACCGCACAGGGCAGCAAATTCGATCATGAGCTTCCTTTTTTACTTGAGCTAGCGGATACACCTTGGTATAATAATCGGTATAATCGATTCATTTTTAGTGGTATTTGTTTAGATCTATCCGGAAAATGCAGTGAGCAAAGGTAACAAGACCGCTGTAACAACCCAAGCAACTTGGCTGTTCTGGCGAAAACATAACATAGCCAGCATGTTACGCGGAAACAACGTATTTCACTACCGAGCCACCCTACCCAAAACGCGTCAATTATCCCTCCCGTGTCATACTTGCATGATTTTTCTAGTCTATTGGTCGACACTCTGGATGTTTACGAAAGGGAAAGTCCACGGCTTGCATGAATGGCACGGGCCATGAGTCAGAGTCAGGGGCCTCCAATTTCATCCGAATACTTCGTGCCTTTGATAAAACTGGTTCTATAGAGTTCTCATTATATATCTCAATGGCCTGGAAAAGGCTAAGAGAATGGCATGTCAGATATCGGAAACGTCCCCGCTATTTTTCGCGAAACAGTCAAACGCATCCCATCCTGGCATACTTCGAAAAATGCAAGCGCTATCTTGGCGTCCCTAAGTGAGTACATTAAGCCGAAGGATTCGGCAGAAAAGAAATAATATAAGCCACAACGGGCACTAGCAGCCTCTAGTTAGATAGTCTAAAATTCAATTATTCAATGTATAGTACGTAGGCACCAATTAACCAGTTCGAATTTATTACCAAATAGCGATGACTCGCGTGAACCGGGATCGAGTGGGGGTCAAGTAGTTAGTTATGATGTGGATGTCTCAGCCAAACATGAAACGCGCATGTTAGAGATAAATTGGGGGCCTCGGTTTCGAGACCTGAAATGTTAAATCCTTGCAAGTACCCATGTGCACTATCGTCGCATGTAAATACGAGATTCAAAATATAGAAAAAGTCCGTGATTGGGTATATTAGACCTTAGGAAAAGGAATCCGCAACAACCATAATCAAACAATCAAAATCAAAATCCCTGCAACCTTGCCACGTTTTGGCAGTGTGACAGAGATCAATTCTACAGGAGTCCCTTGCTCGGGATCTGGCAATCTTACTCGGGCGTAAATGCTGTAATGGGCATTGGTCTCCAGATAATTGCCTCTGCCCTCGTGCGCTACTTGGGCCCCAAAATTTTCATGTCCGAGTGTACGGAGTACATATTTTGCTGATGTTGTCCAAGAAAATAAAACCCATCCTTCCAAGGAAGTTCTTCGACGTCAATTTCTCCCTCATGGCGCTTCCCTCAGACACACTCGTTCACTCCCTTGGTCATAATGCCTTGGGAAAGATAGACATCGCTGTTCAGTCGGTCCTTTTGGCTATTGTTTTTGTTTTTGTCGGTCTGCGGTTATGGTCACGACGATTGCAGTGGGTTCCACTGCAATTGAATGATTTGTTGATTATGGTTGCCACGGTAGAGTTATCTATCTCGTGTGTTCCCCGCGATATCCCGACAAGACTAACTATGAGAGTATAGTTCTTTATGGTCGGTCGCTACATGGTGGAAATCATCATGGTCGTGGTGTGTGGAATGGGGCTGCATTCCACCGAAGTAGCCCAGGTCGGAGGGTCCGAGATTTTTGTCCAATTCAATCAGGTAGGTCACAACGAGTGGCATCTATTTGGTTTAAACTAACCTACCATCAGCTTACATATGCGGGTGACCTTCTCTGGGTCACGGTGATCGCCTTGATCCAGTTGTCAGTCCTCGCCTATTATGTGCACAACTTCGGTCAGCGCACTATTACCTTGCCAGCATATGTCATTATGAGTCTATGTTCGGCTCTCTGGGTTGCAGGCTCCTTTGCAACTGCGTTTTTATGTACCCCGCCGAAAAGAATATGGCTTGCCGACACTCCGGGTCATTGCGGTGATCGCAAGATGTTGCATACCGGCATCAATGCGAGTGAGACTATTCTCAGCTTCTTTATTGTCATTCTTCCCATCCCATTGATATGGGGCATACCCTTGTCAAAGACTAGAAAGACTTCACTGGCGTGTATCCAAGTGCTAGGGCTGGGGTAAGTAATACGTGGTTGTGTGCAACGGACAGTTATACATTACACCTAATGACTAACCAATGACCCAGCATCGTTGCCATTATTGCTATCTGCATGAAAATGGAGTTCGACCTCGACCCAAAAGACTCAACCTACGGCTCTGCCAGGAAGTCAATACTTTCATGTATCGTGCCTCTTCTGGGAATAATCGTTGCCTGTCTCCCAACTTTGGAGCCAGCCATCCAGAGGATGTTCAAAATATCGGCGCTTCCCTCTCCAGTCCGTGCATCTATACATGATCCGACGTTTGCGAGGTATTGGAAGACAACGGTCCTTCCGGGTAGAGGGATGGAGGAATCAGAGATGCCTCTAGTCACTCTCACGCAGCCTTTCGTGGCAAAGATGAGCTATCTCGCTCCTGGGAATATTCAGGTCACTTCTCATTGGGAGGTTCATTCGTCGCGAAGTTCGGCGAGACTTGATAGATCACCCGTACGGCAGGCCTGATGAGGTTTATATCGAGAAATGTATGGCTTATATAGAGCATTGTAAACTTTGGGTCTGGTACCCGGAATATAAATATATTACGTTTATGTCTTTTTTTTTTTTATTCCATAGGAGTACGGTAGGTAATAAATGCCCTCGCTATCGACCACCCGAGATATAGTTTGCCCCTCCAACTATTCCAGTAAATCTAACGGTTGACCCCTGTTTTTATTGCTTTCTTTATGAATACTAGGGATGTCAACTATATCAAATATGAAAGAAGAGGAGGCGACAAAAAAAGTTGAAGTTAAAAACCCGCATACGCCGGGAAAGTATATATCTTAAATATGAAGACATGTCGTCCATTCATATATACAGATCCCCGTGCGTCCTTTCTTTCCTCGAATTCTTTAGTATTACAGTACACATCAAACTCAGATGAGAAAAATGGCTGTCTTGCCTTTGTTAATGTACTGAATAAGCCCAGCGAACCACCTGTGCACGCAATCAATACATACTCTCAATCTGGAAAAGAGAGATATGCTTTATATATGCCGACCGCTGACATCTTCCATCCCAACTCATCGTGGTTGGCCAATTGGCCTAGTGGTAAGGCATCCGTTTCCGGTGCGGGAGATCGTAGGTTCGAATCCTGCATTGGTCGTTAACTTTTTGCTTTTGTCCTCTATAGACACGGGGGACGTATTTTTGCATCTTCGTTATTACATGGATCGATTGATATTATATTACCCAACTGATTAATTGACTTCATTGAGGATGAGGGGTAGGTGGGAGAAAGGGGGGGGGGGAAAGTCACATGGGGTTAGTTAGGGCTTGTAAGCCAAGGAAGTTACTCCATCTATATCTAGAGATACCGAGACCTGGCTAGACAGACCGTACATATATATATGGGCGTCAGAAACACCTAGAGACGGGACTGAGTTAGACAAACAACAAGCACAGAATCAAATTAGCTGCTTTTAGTACACCAGATGTATCATGTATATATATATATACCTTCCTAACCCAGATGGAATTTAAACCCACCTGGATAGAATGAACATATAATCAACATCTATGACATCGATCATGTCCTCAACAATCAATGCTTCATTCACTCCCCTCTCTCTCCCCAGGTGAATAATTAATGAATCAAGTAGACCGACTGCCTAGTGACATACATAAATTTCCCTCGCCATACAAGGAAGAAAGAGGCCCAACCCATACCAACCACCCCGGCCAGGCAAGAACAAAATGGAGTAATAACAAGCCCAGCCGATAAGAAAAAGCAGTATATAATATTTGTTGTAGGCTAACAAAAAGCAAAAAGATAACGACCAATGCAGGATTCGAACCTACGATCTCCCGCACCGGAAACGGATGCCTTACCACTAGGCCAATTGGCCGCCTTGTGTATCAATTGATCAAAAAAAGGACACCTGAGAAAGGTTAATCCAGCGCCAGCTGGAACCCTAATATACAGAGCTAGCTACATAAGTATGAAGGTATGCACGGGTATTGTGGTCTGCAGGTACCGGATAAGACCTTACATGGGAGTTGCATCTGCATTGGCGCTCAGAGCGACCACTATGAGGGGCAGTAAACAAATCCATGAGATCCTAAGCAGGAGATAGAACTCTAAGGTGGACGACGTCTTCCAGGAAGGAACAAACAACCCCTTGAGCAGGGTGTATTGCCCACCAGCAACCAATTCCCGGAAAAAAGCCCGCGGGATTGAAGACCCATGGTAGAAGCATCAGCAGTGCAGGTCCTGGACCCTACATAATCTCCCACGACAGGATCATCCCTTGCATAGCAGGGGGTGAAACCATGATCAACGGGGAAATTGGTCGAGATCAAGCATTGGTGCATTCCTGTCGGAGGAGAAAAGAATTTAGCCACCCTGTCAGAGCAGCGAAAGAAGCCACCCGGATTGGCCACGGGCAGCGGAGGAGCAGGACGCGACGACGCCCCTTCATATCCCGTTATAGCAGAATGTCACCAAGACGATCCGTTCTGAAAAGATTAAAGAAAGCCTGGAATCCCTGCAGGCGTGTCACATTCTCGTAGACGCCCATTAATACCCCTTCTTGTTTTTTTTAATTTCCCTCATCCAGCTCCGTCGCTCGCCAACACTCCTTTCTTTCAGCTCGATACTTGCGGTAGAGACCTATACAGCCGACACAATGGTCAAAACCACTTACGCCCTTACGCTCTTTGCGGCAGTCAGCTTGGCGGCTCCTGTTGCTCAGCTGAATGGCCGTGCCGAGAAGCAGGATTCAGTTGAGCACAAGAACCTCATTGAGGAGATTCCTATTTTTGGACCTATGCTTGCAGGAGTATGTGCTTTCCAGTTTCGTTGAGAGCCGAGGTATTAGAAAGGAGAAAGACTAACACCAATCGACCAACAGAAGCAGGGTGCCAAGCGCGATGAGGCTCAGGCTCAGCAACACAACCTCATCGACAAACTTCCGGTCCTTGGAAAGATTCTTGGCAACGTAAGTATGTCCTTTGGCATTGAATACAAATATCGGGGTACCAACTGAAGCCTACCAGCAGGATCAGCAGAACCAGCGCCGAGATATCTGGACAGATGGTGTCGGTGATTTGCCAATCGCTGGAGGGCAGAACTATGGCCAGAACGCCGGTCAAAATGAAGGTCAGAACCATGGCCAGAATGCCGGTCAGAACGCTGGCCAGAACCACGGTCAGAACCGTGGTCAAAATGTCGGTCAGAATGGCGGCAAATTCTGGCAGCGTGACCTCGAAAGCACCCTCAGCGGCATTCCCATTTTCGGAGGTCTTTTCGGAAAGGTATGAAAAGCATTCTCAGCCATTGAAACAGTTACTAGAAAGACACCTGACATGACACAGAACCAGGATAAACCCTCTCACCAGCAGACCGAATCTCCTGCCAAGCACATCGACACCCGCCAGGCGGGTGGTTCCAGTGGTATCTTCGGTATCCTGACTTCTTTGACTAGCGGTGGTGTAAGTTCTTCCCAGGGCACATGATATACACAAGAGCTAATAACCCAAATAGCCCATTAACAAGAGCCACAAGCGCGGTGAGGAGTTAGAGCAACTGGAACAAATGGGCGGAATCAATGGAGGAGCCGTTGCATCCGGTGTCGAAGCTGAATCTTCTGCCACGCCGGTATGTCATACCACAACCTTCGAGGATGCCTCGAGAGAAGAACGCCACTCAACCGATGATACTGATACTGTGATAGATGCGCCGCAATGAGCTCGCCACCCTCATGGCCAACGAGGGTCAGCAGGGCAACCAGAAGGGAGCCGGTAACGAGGCAGCCAAGGAGAGCTCCAGCTCCAGCGGCCTCCTGGGCGAATTAATGGGCAAGAATGGCCTTGGTGCCCTTAAGGGCAACGCCCACCATGGAATCGGCATTGGCCCAGTACGTGCCACCCACTAACACAGAAGTACGACACCAAGCTAACATTCATGTAGATGCGCCGTGAGGCCAAGGAGCTTGAGGCTCGGGTAGCCCCCATCCAGGGCTCCACACTGACCGGTGTTCTCCTCCAGGGTGGTGCTTTGGGCAAGGTTACCGGTTTCCTTTCTGGAGGTGCTAAGCCTAATCCCGGTTCCAACTCCCCCTCTAACATGGGCGATGGTTCTACTTCGGGTCCTCCCGACCCTGCGTCTGGTGCTGGTCCTCACTCTGGTCCTGGCCTTGCTGCTGAGCAGCAGCAACAAGGGTCTGGTGCTGCTTCCCAGTAAGCTGTACGCAGGGCAATTGATTAAGTTTTATTTATTTCCATCAATCGAACAGATGGGCATAGGGATTTTCATGAAATTAGTTGGACTAGTCGACCAAGATTAGGGACGTGCAATCGGTTATGCTGGGTTGTTAAGTTGTTATTTAGTATGCCAAACAATGTCAAATGCTTTCATTGATTTAATAATAAACGGTGTGTAAAACACAGGCAATTTTGAAATTTGAACACAGGAACCCGCAGGAAAACCGTGCTATGTAATGAGACAGGCAGACGAAGCTGCAAGGAGCGCACGCAAAGAAACCAAAACATCGAAGTCGTTAATCGTAGTCAAATCAAAACCGGCTTTTCCGGTCCGGACCACCCAGTTAAAGAGCGCCCTTGGGGGGTATCAGGTCGTTACACGCGATGAAATCAAATAAAGACACTCGAGATGGAACAAAATGCATCCGAAAGGCAAAGTCAGGCCTAGTCAGAGTCATCATACATGTCCACATCGTCCACTACCACCGTCGTCCCTAGCGCCTCCTTCCCTTCCCGTATCATAGCCTGCAGTTGCTTATTCAATCTCTGGATACTGGCATCTTCTTCTCGTTCCTTGCGGCGCATTTTAGCAGCCTGCCGCTGTATATCAGCAGACGCAGGAGTATCCCTCAACCGAGGGGATGGCAGTCCCCCCTGTCCCTTAGTAGGCGAGTGGGGTCCGATAGAAGAGTAAGCGACTCGTTTAGCGAGGCGGGGCATCACGGCAGATTTGCGGCGAGGACTCGATGCTTGAAAAGTGCGCCGTGTGCGGAGTGACGGGCTAGCAAGCTCGCTGCCACCCACGAATGGATCCGAGCTCTCAGGTACCACAACCCAGCTTCGGTCGACCTCGTCGTCTGGATATTGACCGGGTACGGGTGTCGAGCAGAATGTGTTCGGGCTGTACATGTCTTTCTCGGTGGACGGGGTGGTCGAGGGCAGCCAGCTGGATTCAAGGGTTGTTGCTGGGCTGGATGACATGTCGTAGCCCTGTCCTCCTCCTGCGTAGAACCCTCGGAATGCGCCAGTCCAGCATAGATCAAGGACTTTGCTCACAGCCTTGATCACTGTCTGGCCCCAACCTGTGGGTGTTGTGGTGTTGGGGCCATCGGGGCTTGCGGATATGATGTCAGAGTCGCGGCGGCTGCGCTTGCGACTGCCGGTGTAGTCTGCTAGGTCTGCTGACTCGTCGCTGAAGTCGAAGGAGGGTGGAAGGAAGGATTCGCGGTATCGGTTTGGACGGTAATCAAGCTCGGCCGAAGCGTGGAAATCGTTGCCTCCGGTTACGCTTACTGAGCGGTAGCTAGGGTGGATCATCGGGGACTCGGTGAAATTGCACTCAAAATGCGATGAAAGTTTCTCTGTGTTACGACGTGGTCGCTTCCGACTCAGTGAGAGAGAATAGAGCGATGTGGAAGCCGTGGAGGCTGGGACTTGGAATAGCTGAGAGGGCGCATTGGAGAGGTCAAGTTTAGGTGGTGAAGCAGAGTTGAAGATAGCGTGCATGTCGGGCATTTTAGAAGGAAAGAAGGGAGTAAGACAAAAAAAGGACAAAGAACAAAGATCAAAGATCAAAATCGGAGAAAAGAAAAGAAGAGAAGAGTCTCTGAAAAAAGAAGGGAAAAAAGCGAGAGGTTGGATATCCGTGTCAGGATTAGTGTTCCTTGCAAGTCACTTCTCTTTCTCTCACACTATTTAAACCCCCCCAACATGACATTCTCATACATATATCCCATATATCCCATATTCCCATATTGAAATTACAATCGCTGGCTGGTCCATTGTACTCCAGCTGCCTCCAATCCCTCATCACCATCAACTAACACACACCAACCCTCGCCGCCCTGTCCTCCATCTCCCGCAATCACCGCCTCAAAGTGGCTGTGAGCGTATTCCAACACTTGATCATTAAAGGTACCAGGCTGTAACCAAACCGCAGGGATCCCCACCGAGTGCGCTTCCTCCAGCACCTGGAGGGTCACAGCCGGGGGAGTCACCACTGAGAGGGAAGTCTGCGCCGGCGATGGCAACCTGGCTGGCGAGGGGACTGTATCATAAGCACGCGAGGGGAGAGTGATCTGCGCTGCTCGGGGATTGAGTGGTGTCACCGGTAGGGAGTGTTGATGATACCAGGCGAGGACTGTAATGATTTAGTTTTCTACACAAATGCCAAAGAGTGTGTTCCCGTACTCTTGTATCCGAACTTATGAGTGTCATTGCTGGCCCCCGCCACCGCAAAGCGGGGGGAAGAGAAGAATCGCTTGACTGCCGCCATGGTAATTTGAATAATTTGAATGGAATAAATTGATTTATGTTCTCAAAGAGTGAAGTAGTCTTTGAATGTTATGGTAACTGATAGCCAAGTAGGTAATAGAAAACAGTTTTAAAGTTGCAAAGGAAAGAAAGTAAAGCGCGCAACCTCGGCCGATGACGACTTTGTCTCCTTTCATCACCCATCTCCGACATTCGGCGAATTTGTTATTTCACGTCTTCGTCTTTCACATTCATTTGTATGCCACCCTTCCTCCCTCGCAAGCGCGTATCCTCCGAGGACCCGCCCCCAGCCAAGCGCCTGGCCCGGCCCGATAATGCTCAAGCTCCTCCCCAAGTTCCGTTCCACCTCTCCGACTCCGACTCCGATTCCAACTCATCTTTGAGCGACGCACCTGAAGGCCTCCTCAACAAGGACAATGTCCCTCATGCATCTGAGGAATCTGAAGATGAAGAAGAGGATATTGACTGGGAAGATGCGATAGACACAAACACTAGCGCCAATACACCTACTGTCGCAGCTCCGGAGCTACAGGACCTAGAATTGACCTTGGATCAAAATGAGACACACGTGGCTGACCTTCTGGATGGGAAGAAAGGGCCTAGTAAGATCGAGCGCCAAATCCGGATCCAGACACACTGTATGCATGTCCAATGCTTGCTTTTCCACAACGCTATTCGCAATGCCTGGAGCAACGACCCCAAAGTTCACGAGATACTGCGCAAAAAGCTACCGGAAGGGATCCACAAGGAAGTCAAGAAATGGCGCATAGCATCGGGCCTAGAACTCCCAGAGCCAAAATCTGAACCGCCGAAGAGTAAGAAGAAGGGTAAAAAGGCCCAGAAGAATAAAGACTGGAGTGAAGAGTCGAAGCGCCTGGAACCAGGCCAGCCGGATATGAGCCGTGGCGATCCAATCATTACTTTGATCAAGGTGCTGGTCGCATACTGGAGGAAGCAGTTTCGCATTACAGCGCCAGGACTACGAAAGTATGGATACCGACCGGTATCTGCTCTTGAAACCGCCATCACCGACTTTCGCGAGGAAGAACATGACCCAGAACGGCATGGTGAGCGTATCTCCAACCTTGACGAATTTCGCGCGATCGCCGAGCGTATGCAGGGCTCACGGGATGTTGGCGCGCAGCTCTTCACGGCTCTCGTCCGTGCTCTAGGCATTGAGGCCAGACTCGTGGCTAGTCTACAGCCACTGGGTTTTGGTTGGACCAAGGGAGAAACCTATATACCTCTCACACCTTCCAAGGCAGATAAGGAGCCCGATAACGAAGGGGAGTCGGAAGCATCCGAGCCTGAGACTGACGCAACTGAAAATAAACTACCAACGAAGAACAAGCCTAAACAGTTTGACGAGGATCTACCATTTCCTATTTATTGGTCCGAAATTGCCTCACCCATCACGAATGAGATCATATCTGTCGACCCGCTTGTACTTTCCAACCCCGTGGCGCCATTTGCAGATACAGACCTACAAGCAAACTTCGAGCCACGCGGCGCAAAAGCAGACCGGGCCAAACAAGTCATATGCTACGTTGTCGCCCACTCGTCAGATGGCACTGCCAAAGAGGTCACAACAAGATACCTTCGACGACGGACCTGGCCCGGGAAAACGAAGGGCTTCCGAATGCCTTTGGAAAAAGTACCCATAGGTCCACGCGGGCACTACATCGCCTTCGACTGGTTCGGGATGGTAATGCGCGGATACCAGCGAGCCCGAAAGAGCAAAACAGCAGTCGACGAACTCGAAGAAACTCGAGATCTACAGCCCAAACAACCCGAGAAAAAGAAAACAACGCAAACCGTTGACACTCTGCAAAGCCTCCGAACTTCCACCGAGTTTGTCCTAGAACGCTTCCTCCGCCGTGAAGAAGCCCTCCGCCCCGGCGCGGAACCAGTCCGAACCTTCATCGCCGGAAAAGGCGCCCGTGCTAAAGAAGAACCCGTCTTCCGACGAGCAGACGTGCTAAAATGTCTTTCCGCGGAAAGCTGGCACAAAGAAGGCCGCCAGACAAAACCGGGCGCGGTAGCTCTCAAGCGTGTACCCATTCGCGCTGTGACGCTCATCCGCAAACGCGAAGTCGACGAACTGCACCGCCAGACCGGCGAGAAACCTTTACAGGGTCTATACGCGCGTGACCAGACAGAGTACATTGTCCCGCCACCTATTCAGGACGGCCACATCCCCAAGAACGAATACGGTAACATCGACTGTTTCGTGCCGAGTATGGTCCCCGTAGGCGCGGCGCATGTCCCCTTACCTGGTACCGTCCGGGTGTGCAAGAAGCTTGGAATAGATTACGCGGAGGCAGTGACGGGGTTCGAGTTTGGATCGAAGATGGCTGTGCCGGTTATTCAGGGTGTTGTTGTTGCGGCTGAGAATGAGGATTTACTTCGGGATGCTTGGAAGGTTGAGGCCGCGGAGAAGAGGAAGAGGGAGGAGCTTAAGGCCGAGAAGAAGATCCTGCAGACGTGGAGGAAGTTTTTGTTTGGGTTACGTATTATGGAACGGGTTAGGGATGAGTATGGAGGTGGGGATCCGGATGCTGATCGGGAGCGCGATTCGCATAATCCCTTCGCCGTACAGAAGAAGAAACAGGTGGAATCGGATGATGATGAAGTTGATGAAGAAATGCCTGATGGGGAATCGTCATATAATGCGATTGATCATGGCGGTGGCTTTCTTCTTCCTGGACATGAAGATGATGTGGACAATGGGTTGATTGTCGAGCACCATCATGCAGGTCCGTCTCATACTGATGCCGATGACCCTGATGACAATGAGCCATTCGAATCTGGATCTCCTGCTGCAAACTCCCCGCCTGTGTCTATCTCTTCGGATTCAGATAACGAGGTGAATAGTGGCAAGGGTGAAGACTCAGAACCTGAATACGCACCTCGCCCGACACGCCGAGTGCGAGGCCGAGGTCGTTAATGGAATGAATGTACCATCCATATCGCTGGGACTGGAAAGGGCTGGGTATTTTGTTATGTACTATGTACCAATGCCAGCAGTCTCTTGCACCAAGTAAATAAAGACCTCCGTCGTCAATAGTAACTACATGCCACTCTCTAAGTACTGTAACAGTGGCCACTCTTATTTTAGCGTCTCTGAACTCGACAATAGTTCCAAGGATGAGTGACGACTATGTAGTATTCTTTTAAACAGTTTACCCATATGTCTTTTTGATCCATGACTCTGTTATTCGTCAAGTTTGTATAATAAATATGTATACCCTTGGATCAAACCTGGGCCCCGGCAATCAGGTTTCCCATTCTTACGTGTCGTTCTAACTCGAACGCGCCTAGTAAATTTGCTTAAAAAAACGCTAGAGCACTTGGTCTCGAACCAATCACTAACTATATACTACTAGGCCCACGATGAAAACCGGTTTCTTGTGCATTGCTGCACTGATACAGACCAGTCTAGACAATCAAGAAGTAAGTCCATATTGTTTGTGGAGAGCGAGCGGATCAGGATTCATTTAAAGTGATGCTATCTTTTTTTAAAAAAAAAACCCCCACAAAACTATTGAATACTATTGAATACAGGCTCAATACGAAGAGTAAGGCAAATCTATCAGAAATATCTTTTAACTATTGTGACAGTGAATACCAAAAAACTAGTCGAGGACATGAAATTGAACACCCGCGTGGTCTACCCATTTACCGCAGTCGAGAGACAAGCGTGCCCCGTCTCATTTAGAAGGACGTGGGGGAGGCAGATGGGGCAGCACCGCTGGCGGAACCGCCTGGGGGAGAACCACCACCACCCATAGCAGCACCGGCATTTTCATTCTCAACACCACCCTGCTCAGTGTAATAAGCTGCGGGGGAAACACTGGAGTCGACGGTAGAGTCCATACCAACGGAGATCCAAGCGAAGATTCCATCGGAGAGATCATCGCCCAGATAGACGTATTCCATGAAGGGGTCAATGGTATCGAGCTCTTCGCCGAGGATGCTGTCGTCCGAGTTGAGGGTCACCTCCTGGGTATTGGTCGAGTACGGGTAGATTTCATCAGCGGCAGAGATGAGATCCTGGTCGAAGAAAATCTGTCCAACGTGCGACGAGTGCGAGGAGTACAGACCGGAAAGGGTTCCGTTTGCAAGGACCTGGGTCTCGTTGGCTGGGTGGGTGAGGACTATCAATGAAGTTAGTAAGGATTGGAATGGATTTCAGCTGGCAGTATTTGGCAAAGGTCATCCATGCGAGCAAAAAGAAACAGTAAAAACAAACAGAAAAAGCCAATAACCATGAAGGGAGAATTTTGTATCTGGGTATCATACCGTGGATGTGAGTTGCGCGGCCAGTGTAATGGCCAGGGAAGGTGGTTTGCATCTGGATAACACCCTCCTTGTTACTCTTCTGGATACCTCGATTGAAGGTCGTGTTGAGGTTAGTCTGATCCTCAGAGTTGCCGTTTCCACTGGCGACGACTCCAGAATAGACGCCCTATAATGATAGAGGTGAGTGGAACTGTTCGTACTGCAATACAGTGGGAATTGGAGTGAAGGGTGTACTTACGGTGGAGTTGCAGTGCCACAAGTCCATGTAGATCTCCGGAATGGGCTCGCAGGTGTTGGTGTCGATCAGCTGGATGTCCATGTAGAGAGGAATACCCCCCTGGGACTCCGCCATGTTGTCACGAATTAGCTCACCGGTGACATCTAAACCGCGTTAGTAACATTGAATCAGAAAACAGAAACGGGAAGCTAACAGTAGGGTCCCTGGGTGACATCGGGTGCGAGAATGCAGGTAGCATCAGTGCCAAACAACACATCGGGGTCGGTAGAAGAATCCACTCCCGTGAGGTTGGAGTGGTGCGAAGTGTCCAGGGCGCTATCAGAGCGCGCCTTGAGCAAGTGGCTGGCTATCGGGTTGTTAGAATGTGGTAGTATTTGGACCCGACTTTAAAACATACTAGGCTGAAGTCCAAGGCGGCGACGAATGTTCTTCACGGCCCTGTGACGACGGGCCACATTTCGGTTCTGCTGGCCTCGACGCTGAAGGCGAGAAGAGCATTGCGCAAGGCTGCGCGAGTGAACAGGGGCACTTTTCAAGAATGCAGCCCGCTCAGCAGCTTCGGCTCCAACATCATGTCCTGGGTGAGCGGACACGATGCCAGTCAGAGCAGTCAGGCCGATGGCAACAGCAGATGCGAGATGAACCATGATCGAGGTATTGAGGTAGTTAAAAGTTGAAAGTGAAAGTGAATGAGGAAGTTGAGGATACCACAGCTGGGTGTCTTGGGGTGTTTTATATCTTCCTGATGCCTATCTGGAAATACCAAGGCGGAGCATGGCTAGATTCAGGATAGACCCGCTTGAGATAAACGATATTTTTATGAAGCTGACGAAGTATACGGGGTAGTCCTGCGCCTGCATTGGCAAATCAAATGCGGAACATTTCTCATCGAGATAGGGCATCTAGGTAACTGCAGGCCTCCGCAGTGGAGCTTCAACCATCCATTAATAACCTCGTCATAGTGCCAAGGCAGCCATTGCTTGCAATTGATAGGACATCGGTAGACTGTGAAAGCCCCGGAGGCTTGGTACAGCAGCAACTCTAACCACCTATGATGAATCCGCCGTCGATCATCCTGGAACTATTGTCCTGCCAAGAACAAACTAGCCATTGAGCGTTTCGACATTTGCCATGCGGGGAATTAAGGACGCGGCCCAAGGATGATATCTAGAACAAGTCTTTCGCTGTGTAGCACTAGACTGTGGCACTAGACCAAGTGATCGACTCTGATGACGAAGCCCCACTCATCCAATCCAGAACTGATCCATCTAGGGTCTGTAGATGTGGAAGGGGTCTTCAAACATAGAGGCATAACCGCCAGTTGACAAGCGAACGCTTATCTCGGCCAAGGACGTGGCTGGGTAGCGTATGCGTTCCCTGAATCGTCACGGATGGATTCAATGGCAGATGGTCGATAGGTCCCCTATACTCAGCCAGTAAATTTTTGAACAAGCCCGGTCCATTGAAACTGCAATGTAGCGGCTAGACGGGGCGCATGGAGTCTTAATCCTAACGTGCGTGGTAGTATACGTATTCGGTCTTGGCGGTCTCCGTCCCGAGGGGTGCCCTGCGAGATCAGTCAGCGGAGAATGGAGCCCCGGTGGCTTCCAAGGTTTGGCTGGATATTTGTGTCAACAATCAACAATAGACATGCCGCACTTCGAGGTTGGTCACCAGGAAAGACAAGGCACATGTGAAAGTATTTTCTTTATTAAGAGTGTATTTTCCCATTCAGTCTGTGTCCTGGAACAATATGACGTTGGGGTTTGCCAAGACGCTGAGATAAGTCGAGGAAAGGCCCGGGCCCGCAGGCTTGGCAATTGCTTGCTGTCCGGAAATCCTCCAATGTGATATTGGTGAATGTGGATTACAACCTTATGGGTAAAGAACACGAGTAATGTCTCGTCAGTTCTGGGGCTGTTTTGTGTGGTAGACATGCCCCCTGATGACTTCATGTTATCCTTCATGATGAATGTGCAATTCGTGTCCGACTTTGCTATCCCAAGGTTCTTTTTGGTGTGTTACACCGCTCGTAGAATTTCCTGTTTTCTTATTGGCTCCTCACTGTCACCACTTAACCTTGGAATTCTACCCCTTTCGTGTTGGACTTCATGTTCCCTAGGGCTGTTCCTCAACTGGGCAATTCTTTCGTTTTTCTACCGAGGATAACAATCATCAATATGATTGAGACTCTGCCCCAAATGTATGTGGGAATTTTTGGTATCAAGCATCGTGATAGTTAGCTAAATGGTTGGCTACAAGAATTAAAAAGGAAAATAGGGTCAAAAGCCATCTGGATTAAATTGATTATGTTACATGCATATTCGTGGATATCGGGGGCAAGGTCGCATGAAACCGTTAACTCATGATAGAGGTAATAATAGAAGCAAAGCCCGTTGAGAGTGGGCTAGAACTACGGAAAAAGACAGAGAACAAGAGAACCACCCTGACAAAACCTGTCCGATAGATTAGACTTCCTGCTGGGTCACGCTGGGTGCATGAGAAGCCTTCTCGTCCATTCCAATTTCGGCAGCAAAGGTGCTGTGAGGTTGCCACTTAGCGGAAGTGCGAGGAGTGGTCTCTTCCATCATCTTGTCAACCTGCTCCAGGGTAAGACCCTTGGTCTCGGGAATGAGGAAGTAGGTGTAGACAAAGGCGCAGGTGCACAGAGAGCCCCAGATGAAGAACACCTTAGCGCCAAGGTTACCCTTGTCGGCATCCGTCATGTAAGGAGTGATGACTGCGATGATGCAGTTCCAGAGCCAGTTGGAGGCGGTGGAGAGTGCCACGCCGCGGGACCGGATGGGCAGAGGGAAGATTTCACCGATAACGACCCAAGCGCCAGGGCCCCAGGTGCTGGCAAAGAAGGCGATGTAAATGCAAATGAAAGCGATCATTGCACTGACGGCCTTGGGGTTGCTGCCATCGGTGACACCAATAATGGCGACAATGAACTGACACACAATCATACCCAGGGCACCCCAAAGGAGCAAAGGACGACGTCCGTATCTCTCAATAGCGTAGAAGGAGAGTGGAGTGGAGAACACATTGACAATCGTGGTGATCATGCTGATCAGGAAGGGGTCATTAATGGTGCCAAGCTGCGTGAAGAAAGTGGTACCGAAGTAGAAAATGAAGTTGACACCAGTCCACCTATGGCTCGTTAGTTCATATTCAATAACAGTGAGAGCAGAGTGAGACATACTGTTGCATCATCTGCAGCGAGGTACCCAGAATAGTACGACGAAGGTTGCTGTTAGGGTGCCAAAGGCTGCCGCTGAAGCAGCTGAACCAAGTGCTAAAGTATCCACCCTGAGGGATTGCCATTTGTTCGTACTGGTTGTTGGCGTCGATCTCATTCAGCTCCATCTCGACAAAGTCCGAATTCTCGGGTTGTCCACGGATACGGGCCAACACAGTGCGAGCCTTATCCTTCTGACCCTTGCGGATGAAAAATCGAGGGGATTCGGGTAGCATGAACAATCCAAAGGCCAAGATGAGAGCCCAGAGCATCTGGAGGCCAACGGGGATCCGGTACGACCCACTGTCTGTACGGTTCTGGGTACCATAATTCACGCACGAGGCCAGCATTAAACCGATGGTAATGCAAAACTGGTAACCCGAGACAAGGGCACCGCGAACCTTGCGTGGTGCAATCTCAGACATGTAGAGAATGATGATAGCAGAGACAAATCCGATACCGAAACCAGAAATGAGACGACCGGCAACGAGAAGTCCAATGCTGGTAGAGGCGGTCTGCAACACGACACCAACGATGAAAATAGCACAGCCAGCAATGATTGTAATCCGACGACCGAACCAATCAGCCAGATCACCGGCGATGAGGGAACCAAAGAAGGTTCCAGCGGAGAGAATGGAGACGATGAGTGACTTTCGGGATGACGGGATGACGAATAGCTTAGGATCGGTAGTGGCAGGATCCTAGGCGCGGTTAGTGGGATCCTAGGAGCTTGTGGACAGACATTGACACTCACAAGACCTTCGAACTGCTGGATGAAGTACTTCATGCCGAGAACACCGTTGATGTAACCAGAGTCATAACCGAAGAAGATACCACCAAAGGCAGCAAAGGCACACATCAAATAGGCCTTGAATGTGACCGGGGCCTCGACACGCGTGGCGTCGACTGGCCCAGAGATGACCGCTCCACCAGGCATGGTAGCTAGTTGATGAGGGTAGATGTGTGTAAGAAATCCAGAAAGAGACAAAGTGAGATAATGTAAGATAAGAGGTGGATGGAAGAAGAGGAGAGGAAGGAGCTGGGGAAGGGGGAGAGGATTTATATTTTATATGTCAGGTCGTCCCCAGACTTCCTCCCCCCATGTTCCCGAAAAAAGAAAGAAAAAGCAAAACTACGAAAAATTATAATCTCATATAATCCATATTAGGCTTGGTCATTGTCGGCCTAAAATACAGGAAACCTAGAAATCGGCTGGAATGACTGTGTAGCTAAGTCGGCTCTGGAAATTTGACCACGCGATAGAAACGGCAAGTACAGAAAACCGGGGAAGTGCTCCATGACCCAAGCCGTAAAACTGTGAGACAAGATGATCTGATTGGTTAGAATCCCCAGAATTGATCCGCTGATACCTGTCTCATTACAAGAGAGTCAAAGTGAAAAAAACACCCCAAAACTCCATACATGTACAGTATGTAGGCGAGGAACATCTCGAACCAAACAGAGCCTCGGGTTGACAAACCGGAGATGCCCACTTTAGGATAGAGGGTCCGCGGGGAAATCAGCTCTAATTGGTTCCAATTCGACTGTGTACCACGTGAATACCTTTTTTTTTTTTTTTTTTTTGACTCTGACTCCTCCAGCCCACAACCCTAAGCATATCTTCTTCCCCAGTTTTTATTCCACTAGTACTTCCAGGGGTATATATATATAGCGTATTTGCTAATGAAAAAAAGGTGGCTCAATGATGAGTCTGGTGACCTGAAGGGAACTACAGTTCACGGTTAAACACTTCCAGATTAAAAACTACGACTCCGTATATTCACACCAAACACCAATGTCACATTGAGGGCAAGCCGTACAAAGCACAGACCTTGACGACGCCACAAAATCCCACTCTCCCCTTTACTCTAAGGGAAAAAAACTAGTCTTGGCGTAAGGCAAGCTGAGTACGGAGTTAGTACGGACAGGGTATACAGTAAGAATAATAATAGTAAATCAGTTTCATGACTGCTACCGTTCCACGGAGTGTATGTTGCTAGCCGTGTGTAGTAAAAAAAAAAAAAAAAAGTAATGAAAAGTCGATCAAAACTGTCAAGATGTAGATAGGGCTCGCAGTTCGGGCATTGCCGAGCCCACTAATGGGTCTCTCAGAAATACAAGATTTCGTCTGACAGAGATGGGCTTTCAAGGAATTTCTCCCACGGGAAAACCAGCCAGTTACACACGGGAGGCCCTAACCGCCTCAGCCATTCATCTCCTCATTATGTCTTGGCTATCACGTGAAGTCGAGTTTTTACAGTCTGCTGGACATCGCCACGAAATGAACGAGCGGACTATTGTCGGGAGAAGTTCGTGCTCGTTGTCTTGGCTACTTTGCGGCGCGACAACGCGCTTGAGCGTGGCATACTATTCGATGTCGGAAAATGCGACTCTACTAAACTTCTGAACCTTTCCCTTGTTACTTACCCAACTCTGGAGTGGCCAAATACCGCAAATGCTACCCCATGCCCCATCCACGGGTCTGCGCTCGGCTTACGGAGTACAAAGAGACCGATCCATGGGAAACTTGCCATATGGTCTCGGGTGACATGAGGGACCCGCATTGGCCATACTATAGGGATCTTAGGACCGAAGGTAGGGGAGCTGAGGAAACTGGGATTCCCGACCGAAAATCAAATGGGAAAATGGAGCGAGCCGAGGAAATCATCTCCGATGCCGGTGAACAATTTCCGTTAGAACGGAGTGTGATCCTTTTTGATGGGAAAATATTCATCGATACATGGCTCGGTAGTTTCCGAGTCAGATGTACTTTTGCGTTACTCCATCCTTATTCGGCATTGAGAACATGGAGAAGTCTCCGGATCCCCCCGGCTTTAGGTTAGTTTTTCTGGGGGAAAATACTACCCCGGGATTTGTCTAGAACGCTGGAATCTGCTCATCGGTGTGTAGACTTATTCCAAGGTTATATTATTCCCTGCCATAATCAATTTCCGAATTTCCGCTTTTGGATTTCAATACATGGCCTTGACTATGATTCGTGGCATCTCGTTTTGTTTATATTATTTCTCTGGTTTAACTGACACATTTAGTTTGACAGATCTTTGGAGTACCGTGGATTGGATCTGTACACATTGTCCTACGTTGTACGGCTAGGGTGTTCGGTTACACCTGCATCAATATTCTCCTCCATGGCTCCGTCCTATAGCAATAGGTACTAGGTAAATTTTTTATTCCAATAAAGCAATAACATCAATAACATTGAAACTAACAAGTCTTGTTATCAAAATGTGTGAATATGATCCCAAAAACCTACGCGTCATGTCGAGACTGAATGTCAAGTCCAGCTAACTCGCCTGTCTGTCGCCAATCCTCTATCTCCTTCACATAACTCTTAATCCCCTCTCCCCAGATACTGAAGTGTGCCGCTAGAAAAGCTTCAGGGCCGTCAAATTGGAGTCCCTCCCGATTGAAGTACCCTGGAGTGCAATCCAAAACACCTCCCAGTGCTCGCGCTCTCATCAAAACTTTGGAAGTCCATTCTCCTTCCGAGCGAGAGCTAGGCTCAATAGTAAACCCACAAACGGTGACATTTGGGTTTCGTTCCGAGGTTAACTTGCCGGCTTCCGAGATGATGTGGGCGACATGAACGGCAAGCTGATCGAGAACATAGACCTGGTTTGCTGACGCTCCTGTTTGATACGGCCCCGGAAAGAATAGGTTAGGAAATCCATTCGTCATTACTCCATGGAGTGAATCCAGCCCCTTCTGCCATTTTTCCTGGAGGACCTGGTCGTCACGTCCGGTGACAGTTAGATCCTCACGATCGGTACTGCCTCCAAGACTGTAGCCAGTCCCAAAAATGATGGCATCCAAATCATAGGCTTGGTCCTCTGCCAAGATCCCTCGATCTGTCACAGTCCGGATTCCCTTTCCATTAGTGTCCACTAGGGAAACGTTAGGTCGATTGAATGTTGTGAGAAAGTTGTCACTGAAGCACGGCCGTTTGCACCACCCGGGATACCAGGGCATCAAAGATCGGGAAGTCGCCTGATCGGTCACTGTCGCTTCCACGCGACGGCGGATCGCCTCTTGGCGACGTAAGTCCAATTGATGCATCCGCGTCAGATGGTCCGGGTCAAGACCAGAGGGACTCCCGATGAGTACACCGAAAGACTGCATTTTGGTCCAGCTATCATCGACAAGGTCTACATCTGGGAGAGGATTCTCGTTCGAGAGGAAGGCGTTGAAATTCTCCATGCGCTCTCGTTGCCACCCAGGGCCGGCTTCTTGAACCATTTTCGTCCACCAGGTGCGATCAGTGGAGTGGTTGTGACGCCAATCAACAGCAGACGGTGTGCGTTGAAATACAACCACTTTCTTTGCCCACTGGGCAAGGTGTGGGATCGCTTGGATAGCAGATGCACCCGTGCCGACAAATCCAATCGTCTTGTCTTGCACTCTATGCATGGTTGGGCTGCTTGGACTTCCTCCGGTATAATCATAGTCCCAGCGCGAAGTGTGGAAAACCTTCCCCTTGTAGGTCTCAAGGCCGTCCAATTTTGGGATTTTCGGGGAATTCAGCAACCCGGTAGCCAAGATAACAAAGTCAGATCGTATTGCGGTGGGTGACTGGCCATGTGGTGTGATATGGACTGTCCATTGACAATCCTGGTCATTCCAAGCCAACTTGTTGACCGCGGTCTGGAACAAAGCTCGTTCACTGAGATTCCATTGACCGGCAATGCGATTCGCGTGTTCTCTCAATTCAGGCCCGGTGACATACTTTTGCGACGGCATGTAATTCGTTTCCTCTAGCAACGGCATATAAGTATAACTTTCGACATCACATGCTAGGCCGGGATATTTATTCCACCACCACGTTCCCCCAAAACCACCTGCTGTATCCACAAAGAGGATCTCAGTCGCCCGAAGAAACCGCGACTGGAGTAGTCGCACTGCAAACAGCAGTCCTCCAAACCCAGCGCCGACAATGAGCACTCGAACCTTTCTCTGCTCGAGCAGATTGCTGTCTATCGCGACATTTCCGTTCGAATGGTGGTTGTTCATGGATTCATCGGTCAAGCCCACATATTGGGTTGGCCCGTCAGGGCGCAGGCGTTTCTTGCGTTCCACATCATACCGATCTTGTGTCTTCTGCAGATCGTGCTCGCTCGTCTTGGCTATATTGGTGGTAGGCTGGTCAAGACTAGGAGCCTCTAGGCTAGCAATGTAATTGTCTGGCATCATGGCGAAGTGAGAAATAACCCCTGCATTCAAATGAGCAAGCCGAATAGGAGTTTATAAATGCCATCGTGAATTGTGTTAGCTGTACAATGAGATACATGGTGTTAGCAAATCGTTTGTGCTCTATGTGGTATTTCCAACAATTCAGCATAAACAGAGAACAAACAGAGAGCAAACAGCAAAAAAGAGCAAACAGTGAAAGAGAAGTGTTGTTGTCCAAACGGTGAAACACATCTAAGCTGTACTCCGTAGATTCCAAAAGCAAGGGATCGGACCCTCGTGCATATTAGAATGGGGTCAACTAGTTACTTCGTCCTCTACTTATCTTCGGACTCACCGTAATAGGCCGTAGAAACAGGCCGTAATTGGCCGGAGCGAGGGCTAGTAGGTCCCGTTTGGGCTTGGCAGCCCTATTTTCGAGCTTGGCATTTCCTACTTAGTCCATAGGCGGGAACATTAGACGAGACGACGAATTTGACACCAAAACAGGTAAAGAGAACATAATTTATGCAAAGTTTTCTAAGAATATGATTGGACTTATTCGAGCCCCATGTCAGCACTAAAATCCCGTGTGAACCCTGTGGCTCCAGCCTCATGGCGCCCTGGTGTACCTTATAATATAAGTAGCCCTTCTTTCAGGCACACTATATTGGTGGAAAGGAATTATTTATCGCACCAAGAAAATTGCTAGTATGAGTCTCTCATCCCGTGCACTGTTAGCTCTAGCAGCGCTTTCTTCTCTATCTCTTGCTAAGGAAGTCGGTTATTTTGAGTCGTCCTCCTGCGCCGATCCCAAAGGGTTCGCAACCTGCTACGAGAATGTAGATACCAACTACTCAAACTGCGTAAACAACAATTGCGCAGGGGGAGGTGAAGCCTGCTCCAAATCATGCGGTGGAAGCACGTCCTGCATGAACCAGAAATGTCCTGGCCTGGGAATCGACTGCGTCAAGGCCTGTGAATGTGAAAGGTCCGCTCTCCAGATCGATTGCGCAGGCCAGAGTTGTTGGAACCGGGTAAGAGACCCTTGGCAATTCATATAGATCCAAACTCTGACACAATATCTCAGGTCTACTCTTGCGAGTACCAAAATACAGTCTTGGACTTCCTCTCCGTCTGTATCAGCCCCAACCGGGATGGGTTACCGTATTGGCTGACTCCGGATGATGCCCCTGATTCCTGTTCCTGCAACATGGGAAAAATGGAGAAAAAAGAATATCTGATCTCCAATCAAATAACCGCGTGCTCGAATAACCGTACAAATATCGAGGGCATGACCGATACCGATGCGATGATTGAGTACGGACATGCGTGCCTATGCTGTGGATACAGTGCTATTATCTCTGCGTATGATTCTATCCTGGAGCTTAACGAAGTTAGTCTTCTGTTGTTAATGATGTTATCTAGTATCTGGGACACCTGCCCCGACATCAAACCCTCCTTACTAGGTGCAGAAGACTGGTTTGCTGGAGCTCTCACCCCCGGCCATTGGGAAGAGTGCGGGCCATACCTTGAGAAGTACGATTGCGGCGGCGATTTAGGCTATGCTCGTGCCGATGCCGGTGGTAACACCAAATTCTACCATCCTAGCAGCATGCCGAGCAATGGCACGAAAACAATGTCTAATGTGGGTGGTGTTGTCTCCACCCCTGTGAGTGGTGATACTTTCACATGGACATTTGGGACAGCATTGGAGCACGTTGTCACTGTGTCTTCGGCAGACGCTACTGTCACTGGCACAAAGACTACTGGTGGGAGCGGTAGGAGCGATGTTACTGCAACGAGTAGCACGACTGGTACGGCAGAGAGTGACGCAAAGCCTGGGATAGGTTCTTCTTTGACCGTTCCCTCTTGGACCATCGCTGGAAGTGTTGGTGTCTTGATACTATCGACTTTGTGAGGATCTAAGGTTTGTATATGTATGAATATATGAGTGAAATAAATCGACACTTCTGCGTGCTTTCTAATAAGCCAATATTCTTAGATTGCTGCAACTCAGTATATACATGTACAGGAGCCCCGAAGTTATGCTTCGTATGACATGCGTTAAACGATCCAATCTTTCTTGGCTTTGGTAGTTCTTATCCTTGCCTCGTCAAGATCCATTCCTCTCTGTTATGAATACCATTGTAGGTACTAGGTAATCGGCAATCCCCCTACTGGATAGCAATGTCGGAACAGGAGAGATAGATCTGACCAGTTTGGAAGGAGTTCCACTTCCAGGAGAGCAAGGTGTGGTTCGAGACGTAATCCGGAATCTTAATCTTCTTGGTGACAGTGTAACCGCCGGCGATTGTTGTCTTGCAGGAGTTAAGCTCAGCATTGTCAACACCTTGACACTTGGTATCATCGAAGCCGTTGCAGGTGAACCAGTCATTACGGTGACAAGCTTCATCCTCACCACAATCGGCACTATAGCCGCAGGTCTGTCCATCGACGCTGGTACATTCAAGAAGACCTTTGTCAAAGCAGGCCTCGGCTGTCTTCTTCTCCGCCTCGGTTGGCAGGTAATCCGGATCCAGGAATTTGTCCACGATGTCTTGATCTTGGCAGATACGGTAGCTGAACATGCCACCGTGATCACCGTTGTGGTCAACACACCACACAACGTCAATGACATCACCAGGTGCGTAAGTCTTGACCACCTTTTTGCCCCAGTCACTGCCGGGTTGGTTGTAGTCGACGCTCACACGGGAATTGTATCCGCAGGGTCCGCTACGGCCAACTGGGGCCACGTCGAGATCGGGCCAAGAGGAAACCGGCTCGAGGATGGTGCACTCGGGACATGTGTCAACTCCAGCCTAAATATTGTCAGTCAAAAGAACATATTTGATGCTCAGTTTATCCAAAAAAGCTAACCTCAAATCCGAGCTTGGTTCGACTGTCCGGGGTGACAAGGTAGCCATGTCCGGCAACAATGGTAGACAATGAGCCAACAAGCACAACTGCGGCAGACTTCATGATGTTGAGGGAATATGTAGTTTGTTTGAAGGAAAGTGAATGATTGGAATCGGATACAGACCTAACTAAGTGTTGGGGAAATGCCCTTTTATATTCGCATAACTCGCTATTTTGTACTTCACCTATCTCGGGGTTAGGTTATTGCTGTACAAGACCTGATCCTGCATTTTTACAGGGTGCGGACAAGAAGTCCAATCATGAAGAGTTGTTTTAATGGATAGAACACTCCGTGAAGAGTCTAGCTCGGCTGGGGCTTTATAGAGATGATCAGCGTTGACGAGACCAAATGGAGAACCGGTGACACGGGTTGTCAAAGAAATGATCAAATGATTGGACTATCCATCACGGTGAAATTTGATATTGCTATGCAGGATTACCTCGCAACGCCTTTAAGGAAATTCCGAGCTTGGCAGTCGGGTGGCTAAAAGATACGACGGCCGATATAATTCCGCCAATTAACAACTTTCAGGCCCAGAAGGTTAGATTGAAGTGCACAAGTGCAACAAGCATAATTTTATGAATGTCTCTACAAGTACCAAATCGTATACATCATACGGGATAGTCGAATTTTCCTCGAATTTTGCTGCATTGCAGCTTGGCTTTGGAATAGACCTTTTGTTCCTATACCATACACTTCATTTAACTGAAACGCTTAGCTTGGCCGTGGGAATGGTGGCTGCGGGGTATACCAGCCTTTTCAACCTTTTTTACGCCATGGCGCTCGGAACAAAAAGATCGCCAGTGCATCTCGGCTTTACAGGGTTCCCGACTATTGCCCGACGACTCATTGTGTGCGTTTTAGATAAGTCCGAAAGTCCGATGTACCCCTGATTACATGCTGCAAATGTGCCCCCGGAAAGTATATAACCTAAAATATTATTTTCGAGTCTACAAAAAGGCTGTAAAGAGAGGAATACAGTTGTTTATTGGAAGAGACAAGCTTCCAGGACTATCTGGGTAGCTACAAAGATAACTATCCTGTGCTACTGTCCTGACACCTCAGGCATCAATTTCGACAGTTTCACCTAATATGTATTGTCTGTCAGGGCTATAATCTTGTCCTTTTACTACACAATAATGGTGCAAATACATTTAAAAATATGAGTAAGCTATCCCCAGGAGCTTTGGGGTTTTCTAGGGGCCAATTACTGGAGGGGTGCATCTCCAAGAGGTTGTTGATAAGGAAGGCGGGTGTCTCCCAGGAACCAGTCAATAAACACAGTCAATAAATCTAAAAGCAAGTTTGTTTAGCTCAGGGATATTGAAGAATCTTGGCAGGTTTTGTCTACAGCTCATATTGATCTAAGTTCTAGATCAATAGGGAATTGGTGAATGTTCACTGTGCCTAATCGCCTACTGGGAATTAGAGGCGGCTTTTCCACAGTTTATAGCCTAAAATATACTTTAAGACTCTAGAATTAGACTTACTAAAAAGTAGAACTAAGAAATAAGGAAATAAGTACTTTTATAGTTATAGGCTATTAGCTGAGGAGTAGCATTAGCTGAGGAGTAGCTTGTGACAGAAAGCTGGTGTACGAACAATGGATGACCAATGTTGACAACTCTAACTAAAATGGCAAAACTCGCTAACTAACTCTCGCAATAGCGACGAAACTTTCGCCACCATCATTGCGGAGAGTACTAGCATCCGTCTCGAGTAAACATGCAGCGATCTAGGAGAAATACCGTGATTAATGCAAATGTTTCGTCTACGGAACGAACATCGAAGCGTACTACTAAGGTACCGTGTCTGAGGTGAGTTTGAGAGGACTCAGACATGTATACTCGTGGCCGGCGGGATTCTGAGAGATTATAGCATCGAAGGCTACAATTACGACTGGCATAGCAAGCCTATCGCTACCGAGCCAGGAGACAGCAACCTTGTATTTGCAGTATCGACTTAAACATCTGCAGACACAGATTCAGAACCTACATCGGACGTTCCAAGCATACAACCATCAGATAGAAAGGTCCGGTGTATTATCTTTAGATCCGGCTCTCGAAGGGAATCTGTAACGATTACGTATACGCAGTTTCTTGAATTTTCTGATGCTACAAATTCAAGTAACGACGGCAGCAGTGCAATTCAAATGAATGAAATCGCATCAACTATGACTCAAGCGAGGAAACAGCGGAAGCACTCGCAGTAGCTAGAAGATGATTTTGAGTCGGCCACATCAAGACTAGTCGATGGTGGCCTCCATCTAGCTCATCCGATATCCTCGTTTAACAGTGTCGACCGCGAAGAAAACAACCCACGTGGCAAAACATGAGCCTAAAGTTATTCATCATTACCAACACCTACCCTGCATATTGTGAATAGTTTAGAACTAGTGCTATACGCTGTAGATGAGAGTGCTTTTTTTAATATTCTGAGCTGCTCACATCTCCTATCTTCTTTCACTGCCCCCTTCCGCGAGACATCTTTTGAAAGCCGGTTGAATCGAGCTTATCTGGAAAACGGATATAACTTGTTAGTAGATCCGACCTCCGATCCAGACAATGTGAGCCGGGTATTCAGGCTCCTATTGACTTCGTCAACCCGGGATTCCATAGTCCAATAGGTGAAATGACTTCTAGAAGGTGGCTTAGACGAAGCCCTAGAGTTGTGGGATATGCCTTTCTACGTGCTAGGGGGCGCGGGGACTCACTATCCTCGAAGGGATCATATAGGAAAACCTATCCTTCCTCCGAATGCCTTGCTGATAAGTAAAGTCATTGGTGCTTTTGTACATCAAAGGACAGAGCCACAATCCTTCCAGAGCGACTATGACCTTCTAGCCGACCTTGGCCTCAATGGTCAGTGGCTTGATTTATATGACGTGGAAGGTTATCTTAAGGAGAAAGGTTATCTTCTTAAGTGCCGATACTACATTTTGCAGCGTTCCCGCACGTGCATCCTTAATAAAATTCCGGTCTTCCGACATAATAGGTACCAATGCTCAACAAGTCATAGGCATAGACAAATCAACCCTAGGACATATGAATCCTCATAATACGGATCTTATAGAACTGCAGTCGAGAGGATGGGGACCAGACATATAGGTATTTGTCGGTTTTACCACCATTCATCAACGTATAAATGACTGACTAATGTCGAAAATCGGCGCAGGATGTAGATTCTTTTCGAAATTATACCGATCCAAGCGGTTCTTGGGTCCTGGATGTAGGACTATTCATTGATCGTATGCACTTATTGAACCTAGATTGGTTGGTATTGCCCTCTGACAAGAACATATCTCATTCAGTCCGGCATTTACCTCGGTCGCTGCCCTGCGTTTCGCCGAGAAGACGTCGAGCATACATTCCGCCTCGCATTGGGTAAAAACTTCTCGGACTCTTCGATGTGATGTGTTCATATTCCCAAAGATAAGCCTATGCATACGGGATGTGCGCATTTCAAGCTTGCTGCATACCTAGACCTCTGTATAGCCCATAAAGCCCATAGCCCAACCCCACCCAACCCACCAATGGGTTGGGCTTTAGGCCCACCCTTCGAGCCTATAGGGCCTATTGGAGCCTATAATAGGCCCTTATTATTAACCAAACAATACAAATATACCAATTCATTATAGCTATATAATTAATATATTTTTTCCTATTCTTTAGGGGTATTAGTAAAGCGGTAGCGGTAGCGGCAACGGTAGTAAAGGCGGTAAAGGCGAAGGATAGACGAAGTATAAAGGAGAGTAGAAGTAAATATTAAGAGAGAGAAAGGTAGGTTAGAAGATATAAATAAGAATTAAAATTGATTTTTATAAAGCTTTACTTTTTTATAAGGTACTTATTTTTATTAGGGGTTTATATAGTAAGTAGAGGTACTATAAGTATTACTACAATTGACTATAGAAAGTTATATCAATCCTCTATAGATAATATATATCTCTTTATACTGATACTTAGTAATTCCTTCTAGGTACGAATTTATAGTTAAATTGGATCTTTTTAGGGTTATTTTGTATGAAACCTAGTATTATAATACTAAAACCAGTATAAAATCCACTTAATTCCTACTTCTTACTATGATAATATAATAATACTGAAGATATAGGTTGGTACCTACGTAAAATATAGTCATTAATCATCTACTTTATATATACTAAGACTGTATTTGTGCACAGAAATGGGCTTTTGATGGGCTTTGATAGGCCCCTATTAATGGGCTGTGGGTTGGGCTTTGGGCCGGGGGTCTGGGCCCATTGATGGGCTATGCAGAGGTCTATGCATACCTACCAGTCTCCAGCTAGTCTGTGCTGACGGCTAATTCAGACCATTTATTTGTCACTATAACATACTATTTGTTCTCAATGCATTCCGCGTGGAACCTGGAGATACCTGGAATGGTGTTTATTACATGTGACAGTTTGACATTAGTTTAAGAAACTTATGATAGCACGACGTGCGATGGCAAATGTGCTAACTGATAAACAAGGTTGCGAAAGTATTTATCATTCGAGAATGGAGTCCCTATGATAGGGATGCACATGAGTCTTAGTTACCGCTCTACCATCACGGTAGTCGTCCAGCAGGTTGTTGACTTTCATCGCGTCAAGTCCGTCAATAACTTCAAAGTCTAACGGCTTCAGCTCGCCATTTTCGATCCAGCCTGGCAACCCCCTCCAGAACTTGGCAGCCAGCTCTGGGTGCAGGTCACTAACTCCGAGAACTTGGTTCTTCTTGAAACCAGCGGTCTTTGTAGCTGCAATTGCTGAATCAACCTCTCCACGCACCAGTGTTACCAAAGACCCTTTCTTCGTGGTCGATAGAAGCGAGAGCGCCAGCCGGTGGCTGACACCACCCGAGTAAGCACCGTTTACCGTGTCAAAGGCGTATAACAATTCATCGCCAACTATCGCAAGTATCTGATCTTCCACATCCGTTGCCTCCCGATCTATGATATGAGTAGCACCAAAGTCACGGAGTGATTGGCCCCCATCGCTGCGGACCTTGGCTGTTGCAATAATCTTCCCAAAGCCTACGAGACGAGAGAACTGAAGTGCAAATTTTCCACTATTGGAGCCGCCTCCAATGATGACAATCGCTTCATTCGCGTAGTCCAAATCGTGGCCTAGGAACTTTGGTGCCAAATCCAATCCCGACGAACTGAACAGGGCGATAAAACTCGCAATAGCATTGACAGGGAATGTCGCTGCCTTATCAAAGCTAATATGGTGTGGTATGGGAGCAGCAAAATTTGCGTCGAGGATGCAGAACTGCTGCAAGCCAGCTTGATCAGGACCACCCGATAGGACATTAGACTGCCCAACGATGCGATCTCCAACGGAGAACCTTTGGACGTCTAGTCCTATCTTCTCGACAATACCGCTGATGTCATTTGCCAGGATCGCATGAGGCAAGTACTTCTCCACAAGTATACCTCGATCTCGACCCTACAAGGGATTAGAATGGACAAAAAGTCGATTGTTCGATAAGTATTCTCCACAATACCTTTTGGTCATGAGGATTAACTATGAGCTGTTAGCTTTTCTTTCACACAAATAAATTATCAACGGATCATACTTCCGGCTGTGATGATCCTCACAAGAACTTGGTTCCCATTTGGCTCAGGGATAGGTCGCCTGTCTAGTACCAGTGGCCTTTGGATCTCTTTGAGGATTAATGCTTGCTGCTTATCCATTTCGTATAAAAAGCTCGTTTGTCCCGCTGGGTTGTAGAAGGGAATTGAAAATATTAAGGAAAGTAGACAGAGGATGAGCAGACAACCCATTGATCTATGGCGAACAAGCATACGTAACTGAGTCGCCCTAACTAATTTAAGGAAACCATTAATCAGCCGAAAATGTGGGTATTTCTAATCAGACCTCTGACCTCGGCCAAGAACCGGTATGATCACTCATCTTCGTAGGGGAACCTTATCCCATCGTGAACTATAGTAGCTACTTTGACTAGTCAAAGTCTAACAGGATCAGCCACTAGTTGGAACAGGTTCAAATGTTTGACAAGCTGTCCCACTATCGAATGCCAAGTCCGGATGCATGGTAGAAACCAAGCATTATACCGGAAACATCATATGACATTGGGTACCAGGCATACCATACAAAAGTGCTTACTACAGTTAGTCATCAATGTCCGCACAGATTGTTGAAATAGTTAACTAGTTAAGTTAGTTAGCCCGATTCGGCCGTGGGTACGGCAGACGACCTCAAGTAGGAGTAAAAAATGGCATAATCAAAAGTTGATATTAAGTTCACCGCTTCTACATATCACCCACACTATAATGTACGCCAACCTTTTATTGGGGGACGTCAGGGGCTAAACCTGAAGGGAAAAGGAGAATCCTAACACTTAACACCCGCCTCTCGAGTCCTCATTCATAATCGCGGTTTCCTGGATTCCGGATCCACACAAGTCTTAACAAGTTACAACCTGATATAGTCTGCGACAAGAGTCTAGACTTTGGGGGAAAGAGTGCGTTCCGCAGCGAATACTGAGGGTCTGAGACGGGAGAGAAGAGAAAAAGGAAAAGTGCTGGAGCTGTGGTGCCTGCTTTCTATCCTTCGGTTTCCACCCATCAGATCGCTCAAAACTAATCGGTCTGTCTCTATATAGATTCCCAGCGTCAACAGTCATTCAAAGGTGCGGGAAGGAAACGTCCTCCACCTTGCAGCACAGTCTGGGTACCTACCTATCTTGTTCGCAGGGTTGAATGTAGAGAACACAGGGAGGGAAAGTTTTGAATAACAAGATCTACCCTATTTTTTTACGTCATATGGCGGAACTTGAAAAATACACTTCGCAAATAAATAAAATATAGACCCATTTTACCGGTATTCTTTTTTCCAGCGGAGAATCGGCTCAACGTCAACCTGATCGGAAATCAAAAGAAGAGCCTCGGCTGTGATTAGTAAACTTATTTGTTATGTTCAAATGCCCGGAGAGGAGGCGTCAAATGGGTAAAAGGTCTCCTTGGCTTTCTGTATTACAAAGCAATCAGGCTTCCTCGTCATATAAGGTGCATTTCACATTTTGTGTCTCAGTTGTCGAGATCTTGCCACTGGCCGGCCTCGAAGACACATGCCATCTACAACGTCCTAAACAACGATGTCTCTCTCGAAACCAACCATCCTTCTTATCCCCGGAGCCTGGCATCGGGGCAGCACTTTTGAACCAGTAGCAGCACTCCTACGGA